AAATTTCTTGCAGGTACCCAATTCCCACTTTTGAATCCTTCTAGGCTGTGGGTTTTTCTTTACCTCCTCCACCCGTTCTTGCAGGAACCTGCGACACTAGTTTGTGCGGCTACCGAGCAAAAGAATGATGTTGTTCAGGGCGACTGACTACGGGCACACCTCATCATGTAAGGAGATGACGATGAGGTTGGACGGGCCCTGGGCGGAGCTCGAGGCGGGCCAGCGGCCAGGCAAGCGGCCAACAACACCAAGAACACCAACAAGCCAAGCCATATCAAAGCTGTCGCAAGCACCGGACACTAACAGCTCCACGTCATGAAACAACATTGAGGGGTCTTTAAACCGTTGCGAATAGAGACACTGCAACAGCCTCGTTCATACTCCCGCGGCGTAGACAAGGACATACACATCGATCGGCCAGCAAAGAAAACAAAATGCGTTGTTGGTCTGCTGACCGAAGCCCCAGTTAACACCATCTGGGCCAAGTCCAACTTGGCGCCTTGGACGTTGTATAATATCCAGCAATCAACTCTGTGCACGCACGAATGAATATGTTGGTTTTAACTTTCGTACACGCTTCCCATTTCCTTTTTTGAACCAACCATCCATTGGCTCCGTACTCCAGACACTGCCACCAGCAAATTATTTGGCAGCTAGCAGCACAGTTTCATGACTTGTTGTTGCTGAGGTGTAGCCAGGACAAGCCTTGGTTGTCATGTCAGTTGCCGTTGTGCCTATCCGCAGGCGGTGAAGGAAGTCCATCTCGAAGCAAGCAGCTTGAATCCTTCGCTGCATGAGGCGCCCTGCCACAGAGACAAGAGGATGCCATCATGCGAAACACACACAATATATCGATCACAGGCTAGTACACATTTGTATCGCCGGTTCCGTTGTGTTGGGCGACGAGCATCGGCGGCGGGGGAGGAAAAGCAGCCTGGAAATTAGAGTTCGGGGCCGCGATCGTAACGCCGAAACCCATGCTGACTGCCAGTCGCAGTGTGTAAACTACATCGGTACATACCACCTCTGCTGGTGTCCACGGGGGTGAGGGGAGTGTTGAGTCGTGACCGGGACTCGTGAGTGAGTGGACACCGCGGAAGGAATGGATGCTGCCGTGATCAACAACGGGGCGCCGATGAGTCGCACGAAAAGAAACCGCCGTTCATCTGGCTTATTTTTTTTTTCTTCTTCTCTTTCCCTCGAAACCGAATTGTGTGGGGAGCGAAAGGATCGCCTCGGCTTTCAACCCGTGACAAGTGTGGAAGCGACGGGAGTGGGCGGGTACAGGCCTGGCGCGAAACCTTGCACAACTCCCCGCTCCCCTCTGTGCCTGCCACAAGGCAAAATTGCTCCTCTTTGCGCAATAGGTAGCCAGTGCGCAACAAGCATTTGGCGGAGCTTTGGCAAGCGCGGGCCAAGCTGGAGCCTGAACAGATCACTGTGAGCTCTGTCATTGGACGATTTACTTGGACTCCACTCATAGGGCTGAGAAGGAAAGAGCGATAAAGTCGAGACGGAAGGAGGGATCGGAACCCTCACTTTCCATCCGCTCTCACTCGCTGCGGAGTGCGGAGGGAAGTCTCAGCCCCATGGAGATCATCTCACATCATTACATGTTTTTCCATGAACTCATTCTCTTTCTCTAGGACTTAGAGGTAACGGCGTCCCGGCCGGCCTCAGGCTAGGTACAACAGCCTTCTACCAATAAAGCTCCGCTCAAAGCCGGCGATACGGGCAACCGTGGCTTAGCAGGCCAACAACGGACGAGTGAACGGTCCAATAACACAAAACACGATGCCATGGCTTGACCGCTGCGAAGGCTGTATCTGTAAGCTTGACGATAGTTACTGCGGATCTGCTGCTTGTTGTACAACCAAGAGAAACAAAATAGGGGGAGTCTAGGAAGCCAAGAGTCTGAAGCTTACCTAACTTTCCGTCGAGGTTCACTGCACGCAACGTTAACCTGTGAGCCTGCGTAACCACACCCCTCTACACGGACCCCTCAAAAAGGGCTTGCCCGATGCGTCATCCGTCGGCGTTGTATCAGAGTCGCTACCAGATAATCGCCAAATCGCATCTCGCAATCGCTGGGCCCGTTGGTCTGGTCAGTCGGAGAGACGATGCGATGCTGTCCAACCAAACTCGACGTTGCCGCTGACAAAACTCGGGGCTGTGCAACTGCAACTGCCAGCGAATTTGAAAAGCGTTGACGTGCTTTCGCAAGTACCGAACGGATGTGGGAGTGTGAGGCACGGGGTTTGCGGAGTGGGATGGCAACGGTCATTCCCCATACATACGCATCAACATGTCATGAAGACTTGACAAGTGACAAATATCACTATGGTGTCTGGTCCTATATGCAGATCGTCCGAGGGTAGGACTGTTCACTAGTAAATCAGCATAATCTTTCCAATCCTGTATTTGTCAATCGTCACCGATACCACGAAACCCAGGAGCCAAGCATCGTCGAGAACCTCAATGTCCCGCCATGTGTCAATTTCCCCCCAGCTTCCGTGGGGACACGGATTTAGGATGAGTCGAAGACAAGGGTGGTGACGAACTCGGTGGGTTACAACCGAGCACAAGAAGCTCCTCGCATGTCAGCCAATCCCCATGTCAGCACTCAGCATATGTACCTTTGACAAATATTGCTGCCTTGTCCGAAACGGATGGAAGCTGAGCAGGAAGAAGACGGTTTGGAATGGCTCGGCGCCCTTTTTCATGCCGTCTCCGATTGTTTGTAACCCCGAACGCCGAATATGGAATTGTTGATTACTTGACAGCCCCAGACACCTGCCGCGGCCGTACTACCAACCACCACGCGCACCCTTTTGCTTCGGCATCCTTGAACTGAGTGTTTCCCCAGCCTGTCGGGTAAAAAACACCCCAGGACCCCTAAAACCGCGCTTTGCAGAGCTCATTGGTGTTTGGATGCCTAGACATCCCGTCTTCCGTTCCGGGCCCGGGTGAGCACGGATAGTGAAATCCAAGATATTCCGCGAATTCGCGGGAGACCACGGGATATCTACTCATCTTGTGACCTGAATGATTCCTGTTTTACGTCTCATCGAACCGCTACGAAAGATCACTCAATCCTGCTAGCCGATGAGCTTCGTGGGGAGCATGATTTCTCATAATGACTAATTTTTGTGCAAGTCAAGGAGGAGAAAGATAAGCGCGGACACGGGCAAACCCAATGGTCCCCACAAACTAAATGTCCATTATTACACAAAGGGTAGGAAGCTCGTCTAGCGGCCGTCGTCAAGAGGCATAGCAGAGAATCATGGGGGGAAAACACGGCACAATGGACACACCTTCCCGTGTCCTCTCCGCGTCTACGGACCTACCAATGCTCAAGGGAAGTGCCACACAAGCTCACAACAAGAGCCAAGAAGCTGTGCCATTCCGCGCCAAACCCGTGCCATCCAGCCAGACAGCCAGCCCTAGTCCTAGCCCCCAAACTTCCCTTTCCTAGGTGACGCCGTATGTATCACGAACGCCATATTGACACACGCCCCTTCCTATGCGCGCACCAACTAGTGGTAACCAAGCGCCAGTCCCCAACCCCAGATTACAGTTTCACCTACATTCCCCCCCTGGGCCGCCCTGGCCGTTCCTTCGGCGTATGTACCTTCTAGAAGAAGAGACGCCGCTGCGCCGTTTTGTCAAGGGTTCATCAAGGGTCCTTGTGTCTCTGGTGCTGTGACATCCCTTGTACACTATACTACATACATACAGCGAGCGGTTCTCAGCCACGGTGGTGCATCCGCTCTTCCCGAACGGTTGCTTCTCTACACGACGACGACCCTGCGTAAACTGCAGTATGTAGTCTAGTGTACAACACAACGTTACGGACGTGTCCCTGGGATTGGGACTGGGACCGGGACTGGGGCTAACTTGATGGTTTTTAGTACCAAGTTGCTGGGCTTGGTATTAAGTGTTCGCTCGGCTGAACCACAGGAGGCAGCTAGTCTTAGAAAAGAGAGATAACAAGGGCAGCTGAGTGTAGACCTGAAATCTGTTTACTTTCCCCATTGGGATTTGGTTCCGGTTTAAGATTGATTGGTTGAGAATCTATGAGAAGGAGTACCTACCTGGCTAGGTTGCACAGGGTGGTGTAGAGCTGGAGAGGTGAATAACTTGGTAAACAAGTTGGTAAACAAGTTCGTAAACACACACCCCTGGCTACCTAGGTAGGTACTACCCCCGAGCGTACCTTTCCCCAGAGCTCTCGTTCAACGAACGGCTGGTGTGTTGAAGAGGAGGCAAGTTGAAGCCATCTGGCAACTAGTGTAGGTAGGAACTTGGAGCCAGGACGTAGAGGTTGGTGGGTACCAATTGAGGGTAATGAGGGAGCTTACCCCGGATTATTACCCCTAATATGTACGCATCGTACCTGTATTGATCGTTACTCTCTCCACGCAGACCTACACAGACGCCTTTGCATTTAACAAAGTAGTTCATCTAGCACAGCATCGCATCTGGGGAAGCCGGGCAGGTACCACCGGTACTAGCTCCGGAGTATTATAAACTGATACCAGACCTCCGTACTTTCCATGTCTTGACTCATGCTAAACATGGGACAATGCTGCTGTCCCGCCTGGAAGTGGACATGTAGAGCAATATTGGCTTTATCCCTGGCAAAAAAGGGGAAAGAAGGGGGGAGGCGCTAAAAGAGGCACGGTATTCCGCTTGAGGTAAACAGTCCCTTTTGTCACGCTGTCTCTCAAAAACAAAACGAAACAAGTCAAGTATGCACAAGACAGTCTTCAAAATTTCAGGTAGACTTGCCACTTATACGCTAACGGTATCTCACAAATCGCCTTCCTCTATGTAGATGCTTCAACATATCTTTGCGCGAGCTCCATCTAGACAGTGTATTTCACTCGGACTCGCTTCAACCCCTTTCAGAAAGTAGGTAGGTAAGTACCATTTATGTCCTTGTTCCAACAATCAACCCACTGGTACCCAGTGCTTAGCCCTTTTGATATGACTAAACAGCTGGTTACGAGTATCGAAGCTACCGGCGCACACCCTGCAAACAAAACCAGCGTTCGTCTTGATCCGCTTGGCCTGTCGCTGCTGTGCCTCCTGGCGCTGTTTCGCCTCCGCCTCCGCGTTGTCCAACTCCCGCTGCTGTTTTTGCTGCTCCTGATGTTTCATAATTTTTTTTCCTGCTCTCGCCTTAGCTCTTCCTCGCGCTTCAGCTTCTGCAATTGTTCTTCTTCTTCCTCCTCCTCCTCCTCCTCCTCCTCCTCTTTCCGCTTCAGTTCAGCAGCAGGTCGTTGCACCTCCTGCTGCCGCCGCTGCTTTTGCAAGACAAGACGATACTCCGCCCTCTCTTTCTCCAGCTTCGCTATCGTCTTCCTCGCTCTTCTGTGCGGATGTTCGCTTCTATCCCGCTTCTTGCAGATCTCTGGCCGCTTATACCCGGGTGCGCGCCGGCGTTTTGCTCTGTCCATAGCGTGCCCAGATTCTTCAAGGTGCTCGAACAGCGCATCGCGGCTGTCAAAGTCGTCGTCACAGAACGTGCAAGACCTTTTGAACATCTCTTGTTAGCGGCCAAAGAAAGCTTTCAATCCAAAGGACTCAGAAAAGTCTTCATCAATCGGACGCTCTCCGGGCATGAGGTCTCGATAGTGATTGGGGTTCTTGGCGAGGTGGTAGAAGAGATATTTTCGGTAGGGGAAGGATAATTCACATCCGAGGCAAGTCAGTGTAGGATCGATAGGTTCCAACCTCTTCCCTGTGATAGGATTGTCGAAAGCCACTGCTGCTTGTTGGAGGTCCCAGGGGTCAAATGAGCGGAGTGACATATGCTTCGTGAATCTGCGCCAGCTTAGAAAAGGGGGTTTCATCTATTAAGAATCTTTGGGGGCGGAGAATAACTCACAGGTTGCTCATATTCATAGCCGTTTTTTTTTCCATGGAGAGCCACTCGTGATCCATGATCTCGTCCATGTCCAATCTTTGCTGCGGGTTCGCATGCATAGTTCCCATGATGAAGTCGATGCAAAACCCGGTCGAAAGACACAAAACCTGGGAAGGGAAGCATCGCATACCGGCACGGTATTGGAGTAGATGTTGCGGTTGCGCAAAGGGCGGGGCGCCGGTACACATGCAAAATACGATGGCTCCTAGTGCCCAGATGTCGACCGCCGCCGTATACGCATCCGATGATTCGAATAGCTCGGGAGCAATATAGCCATACGTACCATTATAGTGGGTGTACAATGTAGGACCGGCAATGTTTTTGGCAATACCAAAGTCTGCGTGCTTGACCTTCCATCCAGGGCCTGGCGTATCGACGAGGATATTCTTGGAATTCACAGCGGTATTAGATCCGAGCAGTGTAGATATGGCTGGAAACCCTGTTGTGTTTGTGAGGGTGGTGGGTGATATGCAGACATACCAAGGGCTTGAGATCTCTGTGGAGGTAGCCTTTTTGATGCATATAACGCAAACCGATCGCGATCTGTTTGGCAATCAAAGATCCTTCGGTTTCAGGGAAAGGCGCATTGTCAACTATATATTGCTGGAGGTCGCCGTACGGCATGAACTCCATCGCAATGTACAGATTACTAGGGTCTTCGAATCAGCCGAGGAATTGGACAAAGTGTTGTTGATACTGCCCATGAATAGAGTTGCAATCGCGTCACTTGGTCAGTAATTGTTGCTTTTTGCTCCCGTTCAAACGGTAGGCGCTATGTTCAGATAGGAAGAACCACTCACCCTGGGATCGTTCTTCTTGGAGAAAGTAGCGAGAGCTTGGAGCTCCCGCTGCGATGACTTGAGAAAGCCGGCTTGCTCTTTGCTGATTCTTTTGACGGCGCGCAGTTTATCTGGGAGAAACCCGTGTTCGCACTGTTCCTTATAGACGTCTCCGAATGTACCCTCTCCCAATAAGTGGATGGGACGCCATTGTTCAAAAGCGCCTCCGGGAACTGCATGGTGACGGAGCTTTGCATTTGGATGGTGTTCATCGAAAGCACTCCCGATCCTCCAATCCTTCAGAAGGGCTATCAGAAAGCTTTCCATAGTTCATGAAGAAATCTTTCCTTGATGGGTCTTGCCGATGAAGGTTGTTGTTGAAGTTGGGGGCGTGAGAGGGGAGTATTCGTTCTGGGGCCGTGTTGTTGCTGTTTGACTAACGCGATTCAATCGCGACTGTTTGCTGTCAGATATTTCGTATATGCAGGTAGCTATACGAAGTATCTATACGAAAGGATCTGATCACTTCGGGGAATCAGTCCGGATCGCCCCAACCACGTGTAGACTGGTACGACGCCCATCCTTCCAGTCTTGTTTTTCTTCTTTTAAGGAACAAGAAAAGTCTTTTCTCAACCATTCTCTTTGACACATAGGATCACGGAAAGCCCTTGGGAGAAGTAAAGACTGCACGGAGTCCCTCTCAGATAACTTGAACTTTTCGTATATCCAAAAGATGGCTCTGATTGAGCAGAGGAGACAACAAGGGATTGAAACCGAGGAGTGTCAAGCGAGACTCCGTGTCTGAGAACGCTTGCCAGGACCAAAAAACGAGGCCATTATTGTTGCATGTCCACAAAGATCTCGTCTTTCAATCAACGACAGTAATTCTTTTGAATTTCTTCCACGATTACGGGATCGAATCCCCCCATGGGAGGATGATGCTAACCGAGGGGTCTTCACGCTTGTACAAGAAGATCTCAAAATTGATGAGTGTCAGTGTTGGATTTGCCAGTTTCGGAGCCACGAAACACAACTCGTAAATCGCCCGGTTAATTTTTTTTTTTAAAAAAAAAATTTTTATTTTTTATTTTTTTAATTTTTTTTTTCCCTTGTCAATGTCAGCAATCTCAATAATTCATGGTTCTGAACATGCAACATGGATGGTTATTGGATGTACAAAACTTTAAAATGGTCGTGTCATGCTCACTGTTTACTAGGAAACATCTTGATCACAACCAGCCAATGCATCCTTTCACATTGATGACTGTTCGTTCCCTTATATCCACACTCTGGTGGTACTACCTCCGTTATGCCAAACATTTGGTGTAGGTATCTCAAGGTCTATGAAAGCGACAGGGAAATGCAAATGATTCCTAAACTTTTGACAACCGTCCATACCTAAGCCGAACCGTGTAACCGAGCGCCGAAAATGCTAAACCAGATGCCTGTAAGCAAGTTCTTATGCCTCCATCCTAGAAAACTGGCCACTATGATGACCGAGAGATACAGAAGCAAAGTTGAATATGTCCAACGAGATGTGAACATGGATACAAAAATAAGAACAAAGAACATGAAGACCATGTAGGTCTGGACTCGACCCTGGCTTTCCAGGGCAATGCACCTGTCGAGCATCCATCCTCTCTCTCTTTTGGCCAAACTTGACAATTGTGTGTCCATAGCCTGTTGTACATCCTGCAAGCATATGAAGGAAAGAGTGAATTGCGGCATCGATTGGGTGACTGATCTTTTGAAGTTGTACTTGCAAGTCAAGCACGTAGTATAACAGTGATTTGTGCCTTTATTGAAGGGGAGAGCAAACATCGTGGTGTAGTGAAAGCGTTGTATCCGTATCCTATCGAATACTGGCAGTCGATCGTTGGTGGCAGACTGCCACGCGCTTTGCTGGTGAAGTGGAATAACTAGGCAGAATCTCCGAAGAGAAGCCATAGGTGCTGCGGCGAGATATCTGATGTACATGTCCGTAAAATCTCACTGCAGGGGATATTGTTGCCAATTGTGTGATACCGTCTCAAGGCGGTGGTACTCCATGGCTTGATGTCGATTACTTGTAGAATGCGGCCGTCCTTGTGCATCGATGGACCGCATATCGAACCATGTTGAGAAGTGCCGACCATTGAAAGGTTAAGTTGAAGCAAGACAACGCTGGGGCGCAGTGTCGTAGCTTTGGGTAAGATCCTATTGAGATCTCTAGTTTCCATCAAAGGAGACGTCGTCAGCGGCGTCCTCCTCCTCCAAGGTGCCCATGAGCTCACGGAGAACAACAGTTGCATAGTTGCTGCTTCTCAGCTGGAACTTGAGAATAACAGCAAGCTTGCTGGCATCAGGGCTACTACGAATAACCTCTGAATTGTCGACAGAAGCAAGAGGGTTCTCCGAGGGGGAATGAAGAACAGGAACAATCAGATTTGCCGTCTCCTTGGTGTCGGTTTCACCGTCCTTTTCGCCGTTGTGGATGACCATCGAGTTTTCGGTTGCAGCGAGCGCAGACTGGTTGATTTGGGGAGTAGCCTCGTGGGTAACAGCATCGACCTCCATAGTACCAGCCTTGGAAGCCGTGGATTCTTCAGTCAGCATGAAGTCTTGCTCCTGCTTAATGGTGCCATCCTCTGATTTGACGACCGTTTGTTGAGCGGTCGACTCGTAATAGAGATCCGATAATCCCTTGGCCAACGTCGGCGTCTCGGTGGCGCTGGAGGAGATGATGCCGTTGGTAGTATTATCGGCAACCTTCTCATTGATTTGCTCGACAGGCACCTTGGTCTCATACTCCTCCGTGTGACGCGCGATCTTAACGCGCTTGTCACTGCCGTCAAGCCCGGTCTGAATCCAAGTTTCTCTGGCCACGACCACTCTATCAGAATCCGGTGACTGTGAGGCCTTGCGGCGACGTTCATTGGTGATTGCCTGGTCATACTGGGCAGTGTTGCTGGTGAAGTGTGCCCAATTAGCAAGGAGAGGCGGAGATGTGCGAGCCTTAGCCACGGCGGCCTTCTTCTTTGCATTAGCCGCATTGCAGAAGTCCAGGTCCGTAGGATACATTTGTTCAGTATCGTCGTTGTAGACGCGGATAGCGTATTGAGGTTCGCCGATGAACCGGCCCAACAGATGACGATAATTGCCGCTAAGGCTGAACTCCTTTTGGCGGCGACGCATGTCGTACGGATCCAAGCCACCGTTTTCTGTCTTCTTCATGAAATCAACATAGGCCTTGCCAATCTCGTTTCGCGGGTAGATCACGTCGTAGCCAGGTGTAGGTAGGACAACGTCGAAAACGGTGTATTTTCCGCTTGCGATGTCTTCTTGTGTAAGGGCACGGGCTTGAGCGTAGAAGTTTTCGTTGTCCTCGGAATCGGCATCAGCAGGCGACTGGTCATTGCTGACCAGTACCAGATCCCCTTCGACGACTGTAGGCCCGTACATGGCCCATCGCTTGCTGGCCATGTGGTTCCAGACGAAGGATTGGTAGGCGTGGATGTACATCATGCGCATACCACGAGTAATGCTCAGAAGGGCGCCCATGAAGTCCTTCGAGTTCTTGCCAAGATGGCGTATGATGGCGGCCTCCGAGCTGAACCGCTTCGGAAGGATGGCCAATGCCTTCTCGGCGTTCCGGGTGGTCTTCCAGATGGTGATGGCCTTTGCACGATTGTAATCATCGCGGCTATTGTGGAAGTCGTTGGTGTGGGTGGGTTCTTGCTCCTCAAGGTCGAACGCCTCATGCAAGAAGTGGTCTTCGACATGGAGGATGTCGTCAAGTACACCCTCGTAATCCTCCTTTAGCACCTTCATGCCCAGGAGGTGGGTACCGATCGCATAGGTACCGAAACGTTGGAGGCCGTAATAGTTGATGTAACCATGGCGCTGGAGGTAGGCCAGACCAAACTCAACTGCCTCTCGCAACTTCCTGACGCGCTGGTCGACAGAGCATCCCGCACCTCCGAGCGGTTTGCAATTCTTGAGCGTGATTACAAACTCGTTGCCGCCGTGTTGACCCAACTGGAGAGGCTCCTTGGAATGAGAGAAATCGCCAACCTTGATGTTGGGCAGGCGTGTGTTGAGCCAAATCAAGTTCGAGGCTCGCTGGCGGTGCACGCTGATGCGCTGAACTGTACCAGCGCGACGATCCTTGGTTCCAGCGAAGCCAAAGTTGGTGGCCTTCACCTTGAGTAGGCGGGCGATGGTGTTCACCGCGTCCATGGTATCCTTGTTCTCCTTGTACATGGTGAAGTGGAGATACTCGCCGCCCAGCTGAGTAAAGCTTTTGCTCTGGTCCCGTGAGCGGCTGTTGTTGCTGTTATTGGCGCGGGGCCCATGTCCACCCACCCGGTTGTTCTTTGACCACTTTGAAGGGGTAGCGGTGATGACGCCAGTGTTATTGGCGAGTGTCTCGATGCGATTGTCAAAGATACGGCGGATCTCTTGGTGAAGGCTAGCGCGCTGGGCGCGATCGGTGATGGGATCGAAAACTACAGTCCGCTCTCCAGCGGAAATGGTCTGCTTCGCCTGAACAGCTTCGTCGAGCTTGACCAGCTTCTCAGTGGCCGACTCACCAATCAAATCGACCAGCTTTTTCCTGTCTTCATCGGAAACAGGCTTGATTTCGATTCCGGGCTCAGTGGAAGGAGCGACAGTTTCCGGTGTAGGTTTGGCTGGTGCAGGCTATGTATGGAGTTAGTACATAAGGACTTGACGAATATTACCTATGGCATGTAACAACAAACCTTGGGTACCGATGGCTGCTGCTCCTCATACTCGCGGAGGTGAACGGTTGTGCCATCCTTGCGGATTTCATAAACAAGGAAGTCGGTATAGCTGGATATACGATCAGAATAAGCTGCACATCAAGTCAGAGTAATTAGCTTGGATGAAGAGCTTACCGCTTTCTGATGTCACCAGTCCAGGAGAAGTTGATGGAAGCTGAGCGTTGCGTGATGCCGAGATTCTTCTCTGAAGCAGCACGCACAGCAGGCACATGAGTGCCCTGGCGCTGAGCCATGTTGAAGATGGATGAGCTAGGATAAGGTTATTTCGACAAGTATGGCGCGTGACGATGCTGGCAGATATCGTTACAAGATATGGAAACCGACGATAGCTGGGTGTGTGAAGGCTAGCCAAGATTCTTGATTGTTGCTGTGGTGCGATGTTGGTGTGTCAAGCTATGGAGGGAGATGCTGAAGGGTGTGTTGATGATTGCTTGAAGGATGCTAGACGTTGTAAAATAAAAGAACTGAGCCAGACAGGGATTCGTTTTTGGTCAGTCCATTCACAGCGGAGAAAGGTACAGACAGTGGAGGTCGCAGGGACCAAACTGCGACACAGTCTGAGGATTGTCGAGAGCAAAACAGCGCAACAAATGCTCGATACTTGTAAACCAAATCTCGGCTTTTCCTTTGCCCTTTGCGTGTTTGTCGTTTGTAAATTTTTGGCAGTGCTTTTGCATGAGGAGGAAGGAGAGAATGGGCGAAGGGGGAGCAGCGCTTTTGAAGACCAAGGAGTTTCGTAGACCGCTTTCACATTCACTGCGATGGTGAATTTTGCACTGTGGGCAGAAAAGCGCAGCTGTGGGGGTGGGCCGCGGGGCATGTCAAGTGGAAGAGATCTGTGGGGAATCTAGGGTCCTCGCTGAGTTGATTGGTCAAAATATGGCTGACACTGAGAAGTACCTTGGTACCTCTGACGTCCCGTTCCTTCCTTTGCTTGAAGGTTTTTGCAAATCTGAAATGAATCTCCCACGGAAACTCCCCTTCACTCCCGGCCTGCCCAAATCACCCAAGAATACTAGGGGACGAACACACGACTGCCTGTTGACCACCCAAGATTTCGGACACGAGATTGCACAGTTCACCGAACCACTACTTGTAGGTACCTATGGTCAAGCCTGAACAACGGTGAGCCCCCATGTCATCTCTATCACTACTGTAGTACTTCTCATCCGAATTGGATGAATCGAACAAGACGTAGAGGTATGCTGCAGTCCAGAACTTTACCAAGGCGCCAAACCACGTCATTAGCAAACGCCAAGCCACTCTACGGTCTCTCTCCGTTTGCAGAATGTGCGTAGGTGGTAGAGATAGTGTGACCCGAAAGAAGACAGCGGGTTTCGAGTAAAGAAGCGGACGGGACTTGGAGGATGCGAAGTGTGGAGGGGTTGGATGCCTAATCACATCAGCAAAGCAGGTCAAATTGCGAGTCCTGGGGAGACCAGATCCGGCCCGAAACTTGGCTGGATTGGATGAACGGTCCGGGCTCGAGTCCCAAACCTTTGGACAAGGAACGATGCTGAAGGCGGGCTCAGGTACCCGCACGTTCGAGACGTCGAGATTCAAGCCGACTGCATGTGAGACACCTTGGTTGGTGTTCATGCAGAGCAGCCATTGCGCATGGCTTCTACCTCCGGCTGCGCTTGTACTTCCGCTGTTCATACTATCGACGTGTAGCATGGTCCTCACTCATATCTGGGCAATTGAGCCCGTCTAGTTGAGCAGAGTACCATGGTTGTCATGGAGATGTGATCCTCTCCGAGACACAGGGCGACGGGAGCTGCGGAGATCCAGCACAGAACCGAACAGCCGGGTCAAGATTTGAGCAACAAGTGGTTGACTTCAGTTTGGTGTCCATGTCAAAGTCGAAACAACTTCTTTCCACTCGTTATTTTACAGTCAACAATGGGGTGTCGTTGAACGAATTGAGGTGTGTTCCCCAAAGATGTAACCCTCCTGGAGGATCCATAACCCCACGATCGTCCAGTTAAAAGCCATACAGTCCCGTCTAGTACTGGTTTGTTTGTTAGTTCGAGACCTCGTATCAACTTTCCTATGCATCTTCATAGCTAACTAATGCATGATCTTACCTTGGATACGCTATTCCTGATATGCAAAATATTGTAAAAAATCCTACTAATACCTTTTATCATTCACGCTAGCCATTTTGTTTTGTCCTCGAGAGGTTTGGGACTATTCGGGATAGATTTCGTTTAGTGTACAGAGTATGGTACAGTACCAAGTGTACCAAGCTAACAAAACAAACCAGTACTGGACTGTATGGACCACAGAGAACCCTGGGCTGTCGTGGGTCTGGTTAGACGTGCATTAACGGCGATATGTTTCACTGTGAGCATTCACGCCAAGATACAGGATCCCTAGGGGAACATCGAGATGATGAAGTGATGGAGTAAGGGAGAATCAGAATCTATAAAAGCGGCCGGATATGCCCATATTCTTCCCTCGAGTCGTCGCTGAATTGGATGAGGTAGAGAACCCCGGCCGGACCTGGGAATATCAGTCACAAAGTCACAAGAACAACTTGACCTCGGTTTGAGGCGCCAAACAAGACAAACTAACTCCCTGAGAAGAGCAATTACATCCAATCGAACGGGCACTGTCACCCCTGACGGTCCACTGCAAGCAACGCTGCCATCGAATAAACGTTATCGACAACTGCAATCTCTCAGAGACCGGAGAGGTTCCCCAACCGGTCGGCAGTCAGCCAGTCACAGCAAAGAATGGAGATGCCGGGGGTGGAGATCGGCGAGCCAGGGCCGTCAGCGCAAAGTGGACAGCCGGCAGCGGCTCTGCCAGACCCAGCAACTGCCCCTGCTAGAGCAGCCGCCCAGTCACCCACCCAATCCACTAACAGCACGACCTCCTCCAGCGGCCCAGCCAGCTTGGCGAGGTCCAGGTCCAGCACCGGCGCCAGCACCAGCAGCCGGAGTTGGGGGGAGGCGCACTCGGGAGGCCCAGCCCAAGTGGAAAAGTTCCCCGACTTGCCCACCCACACCACTAGTCCCGAACATCAACAGCAGCCTCTCCATCATCCTCATCATCGCCAGCACCATCACCACCAGCCTGCGTCCGAGGCTGTGAGACGAGACGGCACCTGCGCCCACACTGCTGAAGGAACCCCAGCAGCAGCAACACCAACCCCCGTCCCCAGGCTAAATACCGACCACACCGAACTTACAAGTCCCGGACCGCCGCCCGCCGCGTCTTGTCCTGCCATCGGCCGTCCTCCATCGCTTTCGATCTATTCGACTGCCTCGTCGTCCGATCACTCGAGTTCGCCATCAGACGGAGACTTGGTCTTTGATTCGCGTCGATCATCCGTTGTCACCAGCGCCTCGACCGCATCCGCATACAACTACCCCCTATCTTCTTCCTGTCACCAGCCCGACTCCTCCCCGGAGCAGCCGCTCACGCGTACTCGGCGGGACGCCAAACAATTGCATGCCGCCCGTTTAGAGCGCTCAGGCTCGATCAGCCTAGCTCTAGCCAGCACAAAGAGGGAAGCATCAAGCCCAGGACTCCGGAACCCGACCAGATTCCAGAGGGCTTCCTCCGAACCCACCCGCGCTCCCAAGCTAGTTACGGAGCAGCCAGCCGGCTTCACAAAGATGGCTTTCGCAGAGCAACAACAATGGATTACGGTCCAGCAAAAGACCTTCACCAAATGGCTAAACACCAAGATTGAGGTTCGCGGCCTCGAGGTCAAGGACCTGGTAAAAGACCTCAGCGATGCTGTACGTTATGGATCTCCTCTGCCCTACTCACTAATCCAATATTTTTTTCCGTCCCAAATCTGACAGCTAATCCCTTTCCCACGTCAACAGGTCATGCTTATCCATCTACTAGAATGTCTTTCTGGCGACTCACTTGGACGCTATGCCGCCAAACCGAAGCTCAGGGTCCAGCGTTTCGAGAACGCCAACCTTGCGCTAAACTTTATCAAATCACGAGGTATTCAGATGACAAACATAGGTGCCGAGGATATCGTGGATGGAAATCGAAAGATCATTCTAGGTCTCATCTGGACACTCATTCTGCGCTTCACCATCAACGACATCAACGAAGAAGGTATGACAGCCAAGGAGGGTCTGCTATTATGGTGTCAGCGCAAGACAGCGTGCTATGACGAAGTGGACGTCCGCGATTTCAGCGGCAGCTGGAATGATGGTCTGGCCTTCTGCGCCCTTCTCGATATCCACCGCCCCGATCTGATCGACTACGACGCCCTCGACAAGTCGGACCATCGGGGAAACATGCAGCTGGCTTTTGATATCGCTCATGCGGAGATCGGTATCCCCAAGCTGCTCGATGTTGAGGATGTGTGCGACGTTGCCAAGCCCGATGAGCGTTCGTTGATGACCTATATCGCCTACTGGTTCCACGCCTTCTCACAGATGGAGAAGGTCGAGAATGCCGGCCGTCGTGTGGAGAAGTTCTTCAACAATATGCAAGGTGCCTGGGAGATGCAGAGCGCTTACGAGCGTAGAATGGCCGCTCTTCTCAAGGCTATCCGCGAGCAGGTCGTTTCTTGGAAGGGGTCAACCTTCGATGGCACCTATGCCGATGCTAAGGCGCAGGCGTTCCAGTTTGCATCATACAAGAAGGGTAAGAAGAGAGAGTGGGTAGCGGAGAAGAGCGATCTCGCAACATTACTCGGAAATATCAAGACAAAGTTGGCTACATACCGACTACGGCCGTATGACCCACCAGCACATTTGAGAATGGAGGTGTTGGATGATGAATGGAGCAACTTGTCCAAGGCGGAGATGAGCCGGGGACAGTTGATCAACGAAACTATTAGAGAGTATGCATCTTAACTTTTCTACTGGTTTTCGCGCTGAAAGTTTGCTGGAACTGCTGCTAACACCCCTACAGTATCAAAGACGCCCTCCGAAAATCCTTTGCCGACAAAGCCAACGATTTCGCTCTTGCCCTCAACACCATGCAACTCGCCATCTCCGGGCTCGAAGGCGACGTAGAAGACCAGCTGCACCACGTCCGCAAGCTCTCCGAGAATCTGCCTCCACTAGACGCTTACCTCAAGACCATCGAGGCCGTCGACCTCAAGTGCCAGGAAGCCAACATTGAAGAAAACGACTTCACAACCTACAGTTACGACGAGCTCTGCTACGAGCTCTCCCTCGTCAAGTCCTCCGTCTCCAAGAAGCTTGCCTTCCTCGAGAACCAGATGGTGGCCCGCAACATGACCAACCTGACGCCCATCCAGCTCGAGGAGTTCGAGTCCGTGTTCCGACACTTTGACCGGGACGACACCAACTCGCTATCCGAGCTCGAATTCAGCGCCGCCCTGGCCTCTTTGGGCCTTGTCTTCTCCGAAGACGAAATGCACGAGTACTTCCTGTCTACCTCCAACGGCCGCGACCGCGTCACGTTCGAGCAGTTCATCCGCTTCATGGTGGACGTGACCGAGGACCAGAACACGGCCGAGCAGGTGTTCCAGTCCTTCCGGGAAGTCGCCGACGGGAAACCCTACGTGACCGAAATGGACCTGCGCCACTCCTTGGTCCCCGACGAGGTTATCGAGAAACTCATCGAGATCATCCCGAAGCACACCGGCCCGGACATGCAGAGCGACCGCGGCATGGAGCAGTACGATTACATTGCTTTTATGGAAAAGTTGATATCGGAACAGGAGGGTAGGGCGGCAAGCGCAAGTAGCAGAAGGAGCAGTAGGGCGAGTGGTGTAGCCGGTGGTGGTGCGGCGGCGCCCGGGCAGATGCCAAACCACAGCCATAGCGCTTCGGTTGGAGGTAGTATCAGTCATAGTAGGCATAATAGCCATGCTAGTATCGGGGGCAAGTCGGTGCTCGGGGGAGATAGTAGGAGTAATGGGCTGATGATGTCGCCCAAGAGCCCTGGGACTCCTGGGACGAACAAGCCGAATGGGTATCATTAGTAATGAAGTGATTGAATCCCCTGTGCTCATCTACTTTTCCCCTTCTCCTTCTTCTTCTTCTTCTTCTTCTTCCTTTCTTGTTTACGTAATTCACTTTTCTTGGTGGTATATGGGTTTGGATCGAATGGGATGGATGGATGAGCGATGGATGATGGGTGATGTGTTATGGATGGACGGATGGATGGATGGATGAATAAGAAGAAGGGATAGGATACTTTGGTGGGATGGGAGGAATAAGGGCGGCGGGATTTTTGTATTGTCGGGTGGACTTTTATATCTTTACTTTTTCTATTTTTGATTGTGTTAGATAAGATTACATTACACTTAGTGATAGTTTTAAACCCAAAGCAAGCTTATGCAGTATGAGCATAGCAGGGAAAGTCCGTCTCCATACAATTAGTGGGTTATCCGGGTTCTTTCTGATGTGCTCGCATTTTTGGTGAAGTTGAGGTCGGCTCATTTTTTTTGTTTTTTAGTTGACAGAATATAACGAAACCACCGGATTATGCTCTTTGTACCTCCGTTCTACTGTAAATGAAGCAAGCAGCGTTGTAATAATCAGGGTTTATGAAGATTAAGGTACATAAGGTGAAATAATTAAAAGTTATCAAATCCATATTGAACTCGGTAATTAATTTTGTCATCTTCTTCACCGGCTTACATGCATAGACAGTGACTGTTTGAACTTTTTAGAACATACCAAGCCATCAATAACAGCCCGGAGCCACGGCTCCTCTTACTTGTGCCCGTCATATGTGCCCATGTACACATGTATATATATTTCATCTCTAGTAATTACATTAATCCAAGGTCCCCCCCCCAAACAAGTACACCAGTCGTGATGTAAGGAAGTAGGTACACGCAGTTAAAAAAGTTAAGTGTGCCAAGCTGCTCGGCGTTCACAGGTTCATATATGTGGCCGCTCGGATTTTGTTTAGCTTGGAAGGTTTTGGTCCTTCGCCATATCCACGAATTCATGTTCACGTGTTAGAAATAAGAAAGCGAGATGCTGCGATGGTCGAAGCCGTGGGTGGTCTCCATTATTCCTTGTGGTGTTTTGAGTCCTCCTCCTCTTCTTTCTTTAGCTTCTTGCAGTTTGCATTTGCGGACTTCCCTTTTATGAAAAGTTTCTTCATGGAAGGAAGCCGATATTCTCTCTGTTGTCGTCAATAACACGGCCGTATCTGTTATCCAAACGTTAGCATACCATACAACCAGCCTCAAAAATAAAGGGGGGACAGAAAGCACTTACTCCAGAAGTAACCTAAAGAACCACGCCTCCATATCCTCATGTCTCAACACCTTATTCGCCCACTCCCTCCCCTGAATCGCCACGCGCTCGGCCTCCTTCGTCCCCTGACTAACTGTCGCGCTCTCCTCGCTGAAGAACCGGACCGTCTCCAACCAGTCCTCTCCCTGCGTGCTCAGCGGGATGAAGTGCGCCCACGGCTTCAGCCACTCATAATGCCACTCCCTAAAAATGGCCCACTTGTACACCAGACTCCTGCTCTTGAGGAACGCATAAAACCGACCGGAAAACGCATTTCCGTCAATGTCCAGCACATGCTTGTACTTGAACGCATCCACCTGCTCGGCGTACGACTTGACCTCGAAGAATTCACGCTGCGCGTCGCAGTCGCCCGGGTCGCACTGGCCGATGTGCGAGAAAAACACGTTTATAATATCGCGGTAGTCGGACCGCGACACCTCGTTGACTACCCAATCCGGGTTCTGTTCGTTCTTGCCCTTGTTCACCAGCACCTTGGCGGTGTCGCGCTCGTTGATCTTCTGCACGAAGCGCTGACGATGCTGGCGGCGCCATCCCCCGTTGCGCGAGAAGCCGCCGGTTGTGGAACCGCGCCAGTACAGCTGGTTGGCCTTGTCGTCCCAGAGCGGGTCCTTGCCTTCTTCGTAGGGGACCTTTTCGTACCAGTACCAGGGGGAAGGGTACAGAATGTCGGCGTATGAGGAAATCTTGCTCTGCGAAAAGATGGGGAAGAGATCGTGCACGACGTTGTAGGCGTTGGGGCGGTCGAAGAAGCCGAAGGTGGTGGAGAGCGAGGGCGAGAGACAGACGTCCGACATGGCAGTCCAGTTGTACACGAAGCCGAGCTCGCCCAGGCCGAACTGGCTGACGTCGTCCAGTCGTTGAGGCTTGTCGGCGCCTTCTTCGTCGATAAGGCGAGCAGGACTGTCGGCCGGGCAGCTCATGCGCGAGTGCGTCCATGTGGGCTGGTGGGCAAACACGTTGAACCGGGTGAACTTTTCCTCGGAGAAGCTGCCGGTAGGACTGAGTCCGCCGTCGGGATCGCGGGTGAAGTCGTTTCGGTAGGCAGACCCCTTGTTCGCCGCGGGCATGTTGACGTTCTTCGCCCGCCCAACCAGCCGCGCCATGTCCTCAGCGGGAACGACAACGCGCGGCTCGTCGTGGATGTTGAAAGCCAGGTCCATATCCGGTAGCCACTGCTTAAACTTTTTCATCATACCCTTGGTCGCCTCGACCTGCCACTCCTGTCCGCCACGGACGTAGACGATCTCGCCGTCACGGATCTGGAGGCCAATAAGGGCGTTTCCGTCGAATCCCAGGGCTTCCTTAGCGCGCATGCGGATGGTTCTTGGCGAGAGTCCCCAGAAGGGGGTGATGAGTTCGTGGATCATGTCGAATTCGTCCACGAGCTGGACATCATGTTCCTTGGCGAAAGCCCACCACTTGTCAAAGTTGGGGGGTGGGGGGAGTCCGTACCGCCTGCGGTACTCCTTGACGGCTTCCTTGAGGGTACGAGACTGACGGGTCTTGGTAGCTTCGAGATCGCGCTCGGCGTCGATGGTCAGATGCCATATTGGGTGGGAACCTTTCGGAGCTGGTTTGGGAGGTCGGATCGCGGCCGGTTTGGACTTGAAGTCGATGTTGTGGTGCGGGAGGTGGTGGGCGCCATTCTGGTAAGAGTCTTTCAACCTCTGTTGCCCTTGGCTGAGGGTCGAGGAGGAGGTGAAGAGCGAGTAGATGCAGAAGAAGATAAAGACGGTTCCCACCAGGATCAAGAGCTGGCGGGACCGCATCGTGTCAGTATTATGTAGGGTAGGTAGGTCGGTCGGTCGATCGTTACGTGGCGTAGCTTGCTCTTCCCATCGGCTATGCTCGTCCAAATTCTTTACTGCCGATGTTGCTGGTGTAGAGATGGAGGTTCGAACTCCAAATTAGAATACCGAGGGGGAGACTTCTGTAGCTTCGTAGCGCCTTCTTCGAACAAGCGGCAAGTCGGCCACAAAAAAATCGGAACTAAAGTGTTTATCGTTGTCGGTGACAGTGGTGTTGAGCTGCCCAATTGCCCGCGGTTGGCATTGCCGCGGACGAACAGTGATATGGCTTGGCTCTGTAGGGTAGACCCAAAGCTCAAGAAATTGGTTGGTTTAAAAAAAAGAAAGAAAGAAAAAAAAAACACGAGAAGCGGAAGAGTGGCCTGTCACAGCATCTGGAAAGTGTCCTCTTCCACGGATTAAACTCACTGCACCTAAAGAATGAAGATCCCCGAAGTGCCTGTGTGCCTGTTTCCTGCCCGTTTCCTAATTTTGGAGTAACCGAGGTGACCCAGGTACCCCAAGATGGACATCTAAACGAAGTGGCGTACTTGATGCGGGCGTCAGGGGCCAAGGAGGGGCGGGCGGTGGGTTAGCCTTAACTACGGGTACCTGACCAGACTCGGGCGGTGTCTAGAATCAGCAGGGATCTGCATCTCCAGGTCAGCGCAAGCTCCACGGCTTCAGGGGCAATGTTACGCGTCCGTCGCCTTGATGGTGCTGGCTGAACATGAAGCAATCCCCATGTCAACGTGGTGCGGCTGCCAAACACATTGACGGCAATCCACTCGTCTCAGCTTCATGGTTCCTCCTGTAAGAAACTTCACCCAACTACTCAACATACTCATTTTTACCACATCACTTTCATCTACACATGAGGTTCATTTCATCACATCACTCGATTTTGATATCAAAGTTGAACAGAGATTGGTGGAGGAACCAGCTCTTCAATTTTTGAGGTGGGTTATATGCTGCAACATTACTTGCAGAAACCAGACAGAGGTATCATCCTCCCATCGACTTCCCCAACACCCAAAGCATGGCTTGCTAGAGATCCTCCTCATTCCCGACTTTTAGCGAGAAACATCCGCTTAGTAGAAGAAGCCGATGATCTTGCCGGAGACGTGCTTGCGACGGGCCTCCTCGTGGTCCATGATACCAGCAGAGGTGGTAAGGATGACGTAGCCGAACTGACGGGCGGGAAGGAGCTTGACAACCCACTTCTCGAGCTCAGCGAGGCGGACGTTGTAGCGGGGAGAGATGACACCGCACTTGTTCATGCGGCCGTTGAGCTGGACAACGATCTTGCCGGAGCGGTGGTCATCGACCTCCTCGAACTCGCCGATGTAGCCTGAAAGACAACAATGTCAGTGAAATGTCGCGACAGTTTAAACATTAGATATCATTGGTGACTCCAGTAACGTGTAAGACTCTCGCATTCAATATATCGGCGACTTAAAAGACTAAGATCGTGGAGCGTAGTGAGACCTCGGCCTAGTTATACGCCGAATGGTGTGGTGCATATGGAAGTGATGGGGGAGTGTTCGATTGCGAGAGTCTTTCCACGGTTCCCTTTGTCGTTTGCCAATGATATCTGACAGTTGGGTTTGCGATTCGAACATACCGTGCTTCTGCATGACCTGGAGGAACTTGATGATGACCTTGGAAGAAGGGCGGATCAAGACCTGGCGCTTGCCGGCCTTCTCGGCGTTGTTGATGCTGTTGAGGGCATCGTGGAGAACGGAAGTGCGGACCATCTTGACGGTTTATTTGAGGAGATTCTCAAATCGGGAATGGGATCAGAGGTATCTGCCAGATCCATGCATGTTAGCCTTCGAGGCCCCGTGAGCATGGAGAGTGCCCTCTGGAACAACGCAGTGAAGGTGTCCCAAGGGTTCTGCCCGCTCAGTTGCCGACGAGGAGAAGCGTATCAGTGGTCGTCGACTTTTCACCATCGCGAGCTGATTGCTTTCCTGGGCCTTTGCGAAGGGCATTATCCTGTTGTCGAGGACATTCTCCGGCGTCGTAGTTTCACATACCTCGGTGATGGGCTTGATGCTGAGAGGACGGACAAGCTAGCAGGTGAGAGGGGAAGAAGCCGTCAAGGTCGCGATGGTCTTTTGTTAAAAATTTCGAGCGGGCGGGTGGATTCTGTGGTGGTGGTGGTCTGTGCTTTGCCATGCAAAAAGCGCCCCGTGCGAATGCCCTAACGCCGAGTAGCTGGGCTACTCTTGGCGCTCGTCGGGCCGGCAGAGGTGCCCTTCAGGCGCATCACACAAAATTTCGGAATTTTGGAGCGACGGTTTCGCGCTGGCGGACGGCGTGGTGTGGGGAAGTGGTCGGTGCGCGCACATAATTTCTGTCAAGAGCTTTTTGCTCTTCGCGGGAAGACGAGAACTCGCAGGCCCCTCTCGCTTCCCTCGACCACCACCCATTGAAATACTTTCTCCATTAACTCTTCGAGGATCGTATCCGACAACAACCCCAAGCAAATCGCCAAGATGGTGAGACACCCGTCCCGTCCCCTACGTGCGAGCTGAAGTGTCGCCGTCGCGACCGTCGATTCGATATCCTAGAACCGATTACATCTCGAAAGAAGAAGCATGACGAACTAGGCATACTCGACATCGACGGCGCCGAACGCCCCGACATCTTCAGTCCGACACGACCCGATTACAATGAGGAAGCAAAAGAACACTCCCGCTAACATGGTCTTTTTGTGGAATTGTAGTCGGACGTAGAAGAGAACACTGTCCCCGCCTCCGAGGAGGTTGAGGTTTCCGCCGATGCTGCCCCCAAGGGCCAGATGAGCGTCCTTGATGCCCTCAAGGGTGTTCTCAAGATCTCCCTCATGCACGACGGTCTTGCCCGCGGTCTCCGTGAGGCCTCCAAGGCCCTCGACCGCCGTGAGGCTCACATGTGCGTCCTCAACGAGTCCTGCGAGGAGGAGGCCTACAAGAAGCTCGTCATTGCTCTCTGCTCCGAGCACAAGATTCCCCTCATCAAGGTTCCCGATGGCAAGCAGCTCGGCGAGTGGGCTGGTCTCTGTGAGTACACCTGTTATTCGAACAACACAACTTGGGGCTATTTTGCTGACTGTGTTACTAGGCGTCCTTGACCGTGAGGGTAACGCCCGCAAGGTCGTCAACTGCTCTTGCGTCGTTGTTAAGAACTGGGGTGAGATGTCCTCCGAGCGTGAGGTAAGAATTCACACCCGAGTCTGCTGTTTAGCCACAGTTTACTGACAAACGACACTACAGATCCTCCTCAACTACTTCCAGACCGAGCAGTAAATTGGCGATTCGCATCTTGGCGAGGCGGAACACCTAGGGATGGACAGGCGGCAGACGCGTCCCAGACATTGGCTCTAACAAGCCACGTGTTTGGTTGGACGTACGCTTGGGTAGACCTTACCGACTGGCACAAATGCTTAGAGCAGGCCTTAACTGGCTTCCCTGCAAGGGGCAATAAACAACGTAAAAGGTCCAAAGACCTTGAATTCTTGAGGTGACATGAATTGTGTTGTCATGCGTGAAGTCCTGCAATCCGTATGCCATTGTCAATGGCGTCAATGGCGTCACAAGCCCGTGGGAAGAGCAAGGGACGTGTTCTTCAAATGGGGAATGGAAAAGGGGACTAACGCCCAAAGGTCGTAGTATGTATTTTGATATCATTTCTTACCCTCTACCATGATGATGTGGTAGCCAAATTGTGTCTTGACCTCACCAATCTTGGGGCTACTGGTGCTGCTGGTCTCCAAAGCAAACGCAACCTTTTCAAACTCGGGATCCAAGGTGCCCTTTTGCTTCCAACCCAAACTTCCGCCTATATGAATGTTTCGTGTAAGTGAGTGACATTGACTGCAAAATAAAACCGTAACAATCCGCCAGAACGGCCCAAAAAAGGGCAACGGGATGAACAACTGTGAAACAGCCCGCTACAATGAACTCAAAAAGAAGCAGACAAAGGAAAAAGAGGTATCTCACCAGTCCTCGCCTTATCCTCACTATACTCCCTAGCAACAGCACCAAAATCCGCTCCATCACGGATCTTGGCCAGCGCTTCTTCCTTCTTGCCATGTTTCTCACACTATACAGTCATCAGTAACCGCCCGCATGATACACCACTTCGACAAGAAGAGTAGACAGGAGCCAACTGAAGGGCAAGACACTGGGAAAAGCACTTACCAGAATATGCCGAACATTGATCGATTGAGCACCCTTGCTGGCCTTGCCGGCGTCCTTGCCCGCATCTTTGCCTGCGTCCTTGCTGCCTTTGCTGCTGGAGCCGGAGCCGGAGGCTTTCTTGTCTTTGCCCATTTTGATTTTGGATATTGCGTCGGTTGTGAAAAGCTGCGAAAGGAAAGGGCGGGCAACGGATTGGTGAGTTGAGAGAGTGGGCGACTTGATGCTGTAAGATGATTGGTGATGAGTTTGCAGTCTCCTGCTTCCGTGGTGAGATGATGAGGGTAATGGAAGTGGGGCTGCGTTGTAAAGAAGTACCATAGCAGCTTGAAGCGAGAAGCTGTGTTTGGGTCGGGTGGTGGGAGAAAAAGGAGAGGAGGAAGGCGGTACAGAGCCCTAACCCTGATTGAAGGGAGTTTGCCCCTTTTCAACGTCACTCCGGCTGTCACGAAGATGGACACTACGGAATTCGAGAGGAAAGATCAGCTTGGTCATGGCTGCACTTTCTTTTTTCAGTTAATCTTACTGGTGCTGTATACTTGCCTGTCGTTGTTTCTGAAATGGTCCAGAGAAGAGGCAGGAACCTGGGACCTGGAACCTCAGCAGAGAGGGAGGGAGAGGGGAGGAATAGACTGGAAGGAGTCACAGTCGCGAGGAAGTTCGCACTCAGGAAGTTGAAGATCTTAAAAGGCTTCGTTGTCAAGAGTCACAATTCCAGAGAGATGTGGAAAGCAGTCTGCCGTAGCTCTCCCGTCTGTTCTCCTGGTTACCGTCAGCGACCCAAATGATATGTGAGCATGTGTCGCAACTGAACGTCGACAGCGATTTTATGCTCTTCCCAAGCTTGCTGCAACCATGTTTACGCAATAACTTTCTTATTTGACTGCAAAGTCACATTGTAGAGCTTGCTTATTGATGACTGACAGGCGACGTCCGGAAGGCATGAAAGATACTACTCGGCAGGCGTAGTCGCTGAGGTCCCGCTCCCGCCCAAATACGCAGCATATATTCCAGGTTGGTCGGAAAAGAGAGTGGTGATCTGAAAAATCAAGGGCGAACCTCTCCTCAAAGATATGACGTGACAAAATGAAGCTATGATGGTACAGCGACTTCCACATTTTCTTGCCGAATAGAGTCAAACGAAGCCCACATTATCATAGCAGTCGTGCTTTCTCTTCTCGAGGTCGGGAGTACCCAACGAATGTCCCGCATTTGGTATTTATTTATGATAGCCCCCATGTCCCACATTCTCTCGTTTCTTTTCTTCGTCTCTCACAGCTTTCCATACCTACTTCATCCCTTCACTACGTGCACCTCACAACTTATTTTGCTTCATTGTTACTTCACTCGGTCTTGTGTTCCCTTTCTCAATCTCACACACATCTACATCCTTTACCCAGATACCAACTTCCACGTCACAATGGGCTCAGACAAGCGCAAGAAATTGGCGAAGACACGCGAGACGAGCGAGGCCAAGGTGCTGGCAGAGAGAGAAGCTAGCGCCGCAGCGCGCGAATCAGAACCTCCCTACCCAACGCCAGATCCATCCTTAGATGACGAAAGCACAACGACGACGGCAAACACAGTAACATCCAAGGTGGACGAACTCATGCAAACGTACCACAACAGCAAGATGGGCGAACAAAAGGACAATGCTCTCGCCTACATAATGTATGCTGCCGGGGACGAAATGTATGCACATTCTTCCACGAACGACTGGAGACTACAACATGTCATTGAGGCCGTCACCGCTGCACTTAAAGACGTGAATACTGTCACCACTACCGAGGAGAATGCAAACCACCATGTCCAGCGGCGGATCCAGTCCAAATCTGAACCTAGCGCGCTACCTCCCCATGCCCATATCCACGCCAAGGATGCTGAGGAAGCTTCGGATAGTCCAGTCCTCCGTCGTCTGAGCCAATACCCAAAATGGAACAGCGAATCTTGCTCGTGGCAAGCGTGGTATCAAGGGCTCTACAGGGCGTATCATGATGATTGTGCGGCGGGCCTTGACCCTGCCAATCACGCCCATGCTTTGGCGGCGTGGAATGTCATTTTGGACAAGGTGCCGCAGCATGTGATGGTGGCGCTGTTGAGCGAGGGAATCTTGAACCCGGAGCAGCCGAATCCGAGTTTGCTGTTGACTGCTTTGGACAAGCTTATCGGTTTGGGGATGTAATTGAAGCTCAGGCATCATGCTTGAGTCTAGATTTTCGTCAGCTTCCGAATGGTGATGCAGGGACAGGTTGGAACGTCATTGTTGATTTCACTGCGAGGAAGGTTGTTGGGCTTTTGGTTCGTTGGAGAGGATTTTGTTTCTGGCTTTCTGGTTTGCCGAATTTGTGGTTGAGGTCGAGAGTATCTTGGAAACAGGTTATCCGGTATCGGGGGCATAAACGATGTTGATGGATTTGACATTCAACTTGAAGATGCCCGTCGCCAAATCAAACGGTGATTCAATGATCACAGGAGTATGGAGGAGAAACAGGAACAACCAGCGAAACAGCGAGGATTTGATATTAGTCGATAGTTTCACAGCGTTACTATAGAAATCATCTCTCAAGTAACAAAATTGCCCTTCGAGATTTGACGTGTCTTCCGATCATACCACCTTACTTCAACCTTGTTTTGTTTTCAGGTAAAGAAATTTGGAAACCACGAAATCTTTAAGTCATTGGACATATAACAAAAACAGAGAAAAACCTCAACACTTTGCCTTCTTGTCCTTTCTGTCCTCTTTGTGAACCAACACTCTAAAGCACTTCGGGTGGCCATCTATTCTAAAAAAAAATGAAGTTGAAGTTCGGACAAAACCTCAGAGGCTCCTAATTCTTGAATGTGAGTTGTGGATCAAGAGACAACTAAGTGAAGAAATGCGATCACCTGTTCTGAGCAGCGACGAAACCATGTGAGCAGCTGCAGTGGTTTTGGAGGTTCGTAGGCGCCATGAAGATGAAAGTGTAAAATTCCAACCACAGCCGAGGATACAAGTAGGCGTTTGATAGAGCAAGGAAATTGCATTCTAGAATCGGGAAGGTTTTGGGTTCTCCTGTTATACCTCCAGCGTGTGTGTGTCTGTGTGTCTCGATCACGACCAAGCAAGAAAAGCAGCACAGGGTTGAATCGGTGTTCAGAAAAAAGATTTGGACAAGACAGTAGACGGATGGAACAAGGTATCCATTCTTTTCAGCTTTCAAGGCTAAAGCTTGCCACCTTAGATAACTAACCGCAAGAGAGTCTGTTGCTTGTTTTATCCCTGACATCGATACCTATTAATCTTTCTTTCAAAATGCATGATGCTCTGACGACCATCAACACAAACCCCCTTTCCCACCCTTCCATTATATAATATGACTATTGTTCCCCTTTCTACCTCCAAGCCACTAGAATAGAACTAACCGAAACGGAAGAAATGCACCGCGTCTGTCTAAATCCAAATCCAGATAAAACTCCCTTCTCCACCTAGTAATTCTTCCCATATGCATCGCATCTGTATATATATATATATCCGCATTGTCTACCAGTAGTAAGTTATTCCTTGAACGCACCCACATCTTTCAACGCACCCGCTAGCCTTCTATAATCTCTCAGCAAATCCAACACTTCGCCTATCCGCAAATCGGCCGGGTTCTGCACCTCCATGAACCGCTTGATGGGCGGTTCGATTTTGGGAATTTCCTTTGGTGGGAGCGCGGGGGCTAGGTCGGGGAAGGCCTGTGTGTGGATTTTGAGGAAATGTTAGTTGGTGTTGTTAAAATCACGGGAGAAGTAATACAAGAAGAAAAAAAAAAAAAAAAAAAAAAAAAAAAAAAAAAAAAAAAAAAAAAAGAAAAAGAAGGAATAAAAGAAAAAGAAGGAATAAAAGGAAAAGAAAAACACTAACAGTAGCTAAATCCCCGCCATCCGCCACCGGCGTCCCTTTCCCTGGCACAGGCGGCATCTCTTTGTCCTTGGCCACAGGCGGAGGGGGTGCCGCCGGTGACGGTGTGGACGGTGTGGTCCTGCCAAAGCTCCTCAGTCCGCTGATACCCTGCGAGAACCTTGCCATTGGATTAAACGAGCTGCTCAGGTTCCTGACGGAATCAATGAGCGCTGGATTCGACGAAGCCGGAGGCGCCGATGCCGAAGTCGGGATAGGGGTCGTCGCAGTGCCCGTCGTAGTCGAACTTCCTTCCTTGGATTCCTTTGTTGATGACCCACTTCCACCACCGCCGCTCATCCCAGCAGCCACAGCCGCAGCCGCTCTCTCCTCCACCGTTGGCCGCTTCCCTGATCCCGAAACACTCCTCGTAGTGCCCGCGCTGTCGGCGCTGGTATCCCTTGTTGCTGATGATGCTTTTCTCCCGCCGATGATGCTCAACACCCTATCATCCGCTGACCTGCTGGGCGTATTGGACCGCTTTAGTGGATGCAGACCCTCGTCAGGCGTGTGCACCGAGCTAGCGGCGCTCCTCACGCTTGCGCTCCCCGCCATGGAATTGCCGTCATCTTCAAGAAGAGGAGGCGGTGGTGTGCCGATCAGCTTGCGCGCATCTTCAAGTGTCTTGGGCACGATGGCCTCCTGGTGCTCGCGCATCTTGCCAACAAGAAACTTGTAGCTATCGCCTAAGCTGATGCCGATAGTCTTGAGGCTCTGGTCGGCCGTGGTGAAGACGGCGTCGCTGGCGGCGTTGAAGGCCTGTGCCGGCTGCGTCACCAGATCACTAAGCCGGCGATCGCGCAGCCGCACGGCGTGGCGGGAGAGGGGAGGCTTGAGGCTATTGTTGGACTCGGAGGATGGGCTGGGGGTGGAGGAGACTCCGGCTGAGTAGGCGGGAGGGAATGTCTCTGCCCGGGGTAGGGAAGAGCCGGTGGGAGTCTTTGCGGGTCCGGTGGGAGCTTCGTCGGCGCGGAGAGTGGAAAGATCGACTGTTTCGAGGAAGCTGATGGCGGCTTCAAGACAGGTGAGGCAGTAGGATGACTCGCCCACTAGCTTGGGTTCCCAGCGGAAGCGCTGGATGAAGTTGACGTCGCTTATGACGTTGAGGTTCTCGGGCGGGAGGGTGATGAGGGTGAAGATGAGCATCGGCATAAGCTCGTCTGCGGATGAGGAAGGGTGGAAATGCGAGAGAGTGTCGATAATGGCTTTATGCGCTGCCTTGAGATGGTTTAGCTTGCCCAGGGGATACCGCGACTGGTTCATCAGTATCAACTCCTTCCTCGCCCCTTCCAGCCAGTCCCTGACCTCTTCTGTTCTCTTGGCAACGGCTTCGGGGTCACTTTTGTCGATGTCTCCAATGTCCACTCCCAGATCGCTGGGGCCGATGCCTACCACGGCCAAAGCGGCAGTTTTTGATCGGAGCTTGTCATCCTGCGCTTCATCCTGTGTGGTGTGATGGCGGTAAATTCTTCCGTAGATGCCTTCGCAAAGCCTCCTCTCTACAGCTTCCTCCAACAGTATCCGCTGCTGCTCCAACGCTTTCCTTGCCTTCCTACGTTCGGCGTATTCCTCGGGGGTGAGCATTTCCGAGTCCCGCCTTGAAAGTCCCGCCTTGAGCTTTTCCTTGCTGCTGCTGCCCAGTTGGGCAGCCTTTTGGCGTAGTATACTGGCCGCGGACTGGCGCGTGCCCGAGGTAGATGCTGCAAAGTCATCGCGTTTTTGTCGAGTGGCTAAACTGTCGATATGGGTCTGAATGTGGGAGGCGGCAGTAGCATAAAAGTCTTGAAAGCGCTGAGAGAGCGAATCGATGTTGGGCGGTGCTGGGTGCACCTTTGCGACTAGGCCGTCGATGAAGCTGTCTGTCAGGGCGACCAACTCGATGGGGAGTCCTTCCAGATCGATGGACGACCTCGGGGGCTCCAAGTCCAAGCTGACTCTGCGTTCGAACGTGTCGGGCATCTCGGAAGTGTCTTTGACTGGGGACTGTATCGTGCTCGCTCTCTTGGGGCGCGTGATGTCTGGAGGCGTGGAAGGAGGATCGAGGCGGGTAAAGGAGCGAGATGTCCGGAGAGGACTCAGCCGCGGCGGCGGGTTGTTGCTACTGAAGGACATGATAATACCGCTTGTCTCACTGTTGTATTGATTTGAAGTTAGAAGTGTAGGTCTCTAGGAAGCGAAGGTGAAGTGCGACGCGCAACGTATTGGGAGCCGGGACTTCCTAGACATTACTGTGATGAATGACTCCACAGTGGAGAAATTGACGATAGACGAGGTGCTGGCAGACGATATGATTGACGCCGGGGGACACATCATGACATGGATGATAGTAGGGCAGTACTTACACCCAAAGCAAAAGACCAGTGCATGAGAATTCGAGACAGTTTGAAACAACAATGTTGGATCCGGCTGAAGGGGAGAAGCAATCAGAGTCGGAAGTGCCAGATTGAGCAATAAATCATCAAGTCATTCGAGATCCATGTAGTTCGATATTGAGACGAGGGGACGGGGGGGTCAAAGTGGTGATGCTATGGAGGCCTGGGCTTGTTGTTCGACCATTCCGCGTGCTGAAATAGGTAGTGTGGTGAGAACGTGCAAGACCAACAAGCACAAAAAGGACTTGAAGCAGGTTGGACGTAGAATCAAAGAGTATGAAGGCCGGGGGCGCTTGATGCTTGAGTCATCACAGCAATGCCCATAATTCCCATAATTTGATGGTTTTTCAACGGTCCAGACATCGAATGTTCGAGTCCTTGTGAATAAGCTCATGTTTGTGGGAGATGCCTGACGGAGACGACGGGAGATGTGTGTCTCTAGGGTGTCCGAGCTAGGCGACTTCTTGCAGAGGTGGTGTTCTGTCTGCCACTGCAGCCCGGGTGGAATGACATTGCTGGCAGATACTCCACCTGGCAGATACATACGTATCAAAGTGTCAAGGAAACTGAAGAGGATGGAAAAAAAAGAGGCCACTTGCTAGGTAGGTATTCAACAAACTGAACTCATCCAAAACAACAAAATCAGATGATGTTGTATCTCGTGGTCAAGTACATTAAAGAAATGCAATGTCCCGCCCTGGACTGCATGTCATGGATGTCAAGGTTACGATTTCCAACGTCCAGTGTGTCGATCTCGACCACTTTGATTCACACTCTGGCTCTTATGGTGGACCCTAACCCTTATTCTATCAGAGAGTGACAACGCATGGTGCATGCCACACCACCTGCACGTTTGCGCCCCCAGTTTCCACTTGTTGTGGGGAAAGGCAGTGAGTGTTATCGCTGATAAGGAGGGGAACCTTGAGAGGTGCCTGGACCTACCAACCTACCTACGCCTTTCCGCCATCGGCCGTTAGGTTGGCATTGAGTGGCTGCGATCGTCATCACTGGCTGTCCGTCAATCAACGATTCCGGTGCCAACACGCTATCTTTCTGTCGCAGGTGACAGGCAGGCACCACTGCACCGCAGTGAGACGCACGCCGCGCGGGAGGTCATTCTCCCTCTACAACCGCCTTCCCCCAACAACCTACGTCTGCTCCCGTCTCACCACATCCATCAACTGACCTTTAACGGACAACATCCCCTTGTTCGACGGAGGCGAAACACCTTCGACACCTTCTCTTTTATCCTCTTCGTTTTCTTCACTTTTCCAAGTTATCTCGTACATCTCCAACCCCATCTTCAACTGGCCACGACCGCCACCTTCTCTCAACATGTTACCCTCTGGGAAGAGGAAAGCGGATGCATTCAGTTGCACATCCGCTGCTAGAGTCACCGCCAAACTGGCCTTGTCCTTTCTCGCTCTCTCGACAACACCACTCGTCAACGCTTTCTCCTACGAAGAACCGAACGCGCAGATAGTCCTACCAATCGATGCATCACCGATCACGCCACTTCTACCAGAGCCTCCAGTACCGGCTGAGCACAAATTCGTACGTCCCGTTTGTTTTCGTTATCAAGAAGCGGCCACTAACACAGATTCGCCACCGATAGACACTCCGACACATCTACCACCACGGTACCTACGAACATCCGACACTGCACCGCAAAAAGGATGTACCCGCACAGAACGCCGACGTATGGCTAGCGGCCGACGATGAATATGGCCAAGAGCGCATCGGAACCCTCAAGGCGCGCAGCAGCCCGGTGCGGATACAACGACTTGCCGACCGGAGGCCTAGCGTCGTAGATCCCATGGTCGCTTATGCACGACAACAAGGCTACGCTTCCGTCCTATCACCCGAGGCATGGACCATGGACGAGGTTGCCGGGCCTGATATTACGGATAAAGACACCATCATATCGTTGGCGCTTATGGCTGCTGATGCCTATGTGCAGACTCCAGATGGCGCAGACTGGGAGGATGTTGGGGCCCCGTTCAACAGGAGCCTCGATTTTGGATGGGAGGGTGATGGACTTCGGGGCCATGTGTTTGCCGATGAGACGAATTCGACCATCGTTATCGGCTTAAAGGGAACATCGGTTGCTGTTTTCGACGGTGACGGCACCACCACCAACGACAAGGTCAACGACAACCTCTTTTTCAGTTGTTGCTGTGCTCAACAAGGACCCTGGACCTGGCACCAAGTTTGTGATTGCGCGACAGGCACTTACTCTTGCAACAACACCTGTGTCGTCCAGGCATTGCGCCAAGAGAACCGCTATTACCAAGCCGGTCGCGAGCTCTATGCGAACGTCACTGAGCTTTACCCCGACGCCAACGTGTGGATTGTCGGGCATTCGCTTGGAGGAGCCATGAGCTCTTTGCTTGGCTTGACTTATGGTGACCCGGTTGTGACGTTCGAGGCAGTCCCCGAAGCTCTCCCTGCCAAGCGACTGGGACTTCCTATCCCCCCTGGATCGGACCCAGATGCGCCTCAGACTCGAGAGTACACGGGAGCTTTCCACATTGGTCACACAGCCGATCCGGTGTACGTCGGTACCTGTAACGGAGCTACCGCAACGTGCGCTATTGGCGGATATGCAATGGAGTCAGCTTGTCACACCGGCCGGGAGTGTGTCTATGATACGGTTGGCGATTTGGGCTGGCGTGTTGGCATTGGCACCCACAAGATTCGTGTGGTTATTTCGGATGTTCTCAGAAAGTATGAGAAGGTTCCCGAGTGCAAGTTTACACCGGAATGCAGAGATTGCGGAAATTGGAAGATGTATGAAAGCAATGGAACCGAAACCACGACCACCTCGAGCGCGCCCACTTCGACTTCCAAGACCCGGACCCGGACTGAAACCTGCAAAACTCCGTAAGTTTCTTTTGATATCACCTAGGATTTGCAAGTATACTGACAAGTGACAGGGGATGGTGGGGATGTTTGGACGAAACCACTACCACAACTGGGACGGCAACCACGACGACAAGCGAAGTGACCACAACCTCTACCACTACGTGCCACACTCCGTAAGTAGATTACTGAGTAAAACTTGGCATCAACGTTGCTAACCTTTCAAACAGTGGATGGTTCGGTTGCAAGGACAAGACCACAACCTCGACTACATCAACAACAACTCCTACTGCGACGACGACAACAACAGCAACAAGCAGTACCACATGCCTAACTCCTGGAAAGTTCTGGGGATGCTATGATAAGACTGCAACGACGGATATCGGATCACCATCCACTTCGACAGAGCTTACGATTACTTCAGCCCCAGCCCTGCCGAGCTCGGTGCTTACCCCGTCAGCAACGGCTACTCGGCCAGAGGGACAGCCTGGCGATGGCGGTAAACGTTGCCGTGGCAGGACATGGTACGGGGTGTGCAAAGACTATGAGGGCGGTGACGAGCCCGTTAACGATCTATAACGATAATCATGGTGATGGGTAAGGTATTGGCGTTTATTTTTTGTGAGATTATTTCTAGGTTTTTGGGTATGATCATGGGCGCGAGTTGGGAATTTCAGGATGAAGGGTTGTAGTTTGGCACAACAGGCAGATACATAGGTACGCACGCTAGAGAAACACACACACACACACACACACACACACACTGTGACAGAGAGGAATACGGGCGTCTTGAAGGTAACGGTATTATTTTTATTACATTGCATCAGCAGCAAATTTCATATCATTCTTCCAAGACAACTGCTACGTGATCAAGATGTCATCGGATGCAAATAGCATTTGGGCAGTTAAACGCCGTGGCAAATATGTAACAATGATGGGCTGCGCAGACTCAAGTCTAAAGTACTGTTCACAGCCACGTGAAGGAAACCATGGAAAGCCAAGGAAGACTATGCTTCGGTGTGGTTGCATGTCGTAACATGTCTTGCTCACACGTGTGTATTTCCCTGCTGGGCGAGAATGCTGGTGATTGAAGCCGTCATTCGTCCATTTGTTGGTTTGGGGGGTGTTCTGTTAGGTAGTTGCGACATGCATAAGAGAGATCCCATGCCTGGCCGTTCAAACTCAGCGGTCCTATGCCCTATGGGTTATAGCGTGCATCACCCCGTATCGACCAGAGCCCCACGCAGCACACATCGTTCCAGTGCCAGGATCGCGAACGCTGCCGCCGTCGTTCCCTACTCGAGCCACTGTCAACCTCTCATTTGCGTTGAATCGTGCTGGACCGTAACCGGGTCTCGTGCCGGTTACAACGCATACATAACTTTCTTTTACTCAATCACTAGGTATACTTAGCCCATCTCTTGGCAGGTGTACCTATCTATTCCTTGACCTATCTGTGAACTAGAGGCATCATCACCATTTCTTCACCCTTCTCTTGTTGCGCCGAACCCTTCCCTGGATTACACCGTCTGCCTATACTCGAGACACAACCCGACGATTTGCGCCGACGCCACCGCCGCGCTGCTTGAAAGATCCCAGTGACCTTCTTCCCAAACTTATACGACGACATCCCGAGAACAGTATACGACGACAGACTCGGCTCGGGGAAATAAGCGAGGAACATAGCTACACGAAACGACGACGACGCCTTGGTTACGGACATCCTCCAAAGCTAAAGTTGAAGAAGAGGAGGGATACAGGAACTGGACTACTGAACTCGGGACGAGGAACGAAAGGTCGCCATACCCGCTCGCTGTGCCCGGTCACGGTTGACTGCGAGGGGAAGCCGAGTTAGCACTTCAGGATGATGGAAACACCTACTTCTTCGAGCATAAAGAAGGCGGCTGCCTCTGTGAATTTGGAGTCGGAGTTGACTTGCTCGGTGAGCTACTCTTTCTTTCAATAGTCTTCCTAGTTTCAAAACTTGGGCTGGTTCGGACGGAATGATATGCCATGATGCCATCTGTCACGGTCCGTCCCCTGTGTGGGATCTGCCGTGCCATGCGCATCAGATTGCGCCCAAGCCATGTGTTTCCGTCCGGCAACAACAACAACATCGGACGAACTACTCACCCTCTCTTCCCTCCCAACTTCGATGCCCATTCCCTTCTACGAAAACACAACAAGGAATTACACACATTTTCGCTGGATAATAACCACTGACAACCTCAACCCTATAACAGATCTGCACCGACCTCCTCTACCAACCCCTCACCCTCCTCGACTGCCTACACACCTTCTGCGGCGCCTGTCTAAAAGAATGGTTCGCCTCACAAGCCTACCGCGCCGAAAACTCTCCTCTCCCGCCGCCACCGCCCACGGAACAACACAAAGTCTTCACCTGTCCAGCCTGCCGCGAGCCTGTGCGCGACACCAAGCACGATGCGCGCGTCGTAACCTTATTAGAGATGTTCCTGGCTATGAACCCCGAGCGAACAAGGCCGGAGGAGGAACGCAAGGAAATGGATGAGAGGTATCAAAAGGGGAGTAAAGTGCTGCCGAGGATCAAACGGTGGGATGACAGGACGGAGGAGGAGAGGAGGCTGGATGAGGAGGAACGGAGGGTGTTGCATGAGGTGCAGGAGATGAGTTTGAGGGAGGCGTGGGCAGCCTTGGAAGCGAGCAATGGGAATGGTGGTATGTTAGGGACGGGCAGTGCGACGGGGAGTATGGTGGGTATGGTAGGGGGAAGCGGGAGTGCGGTTGGGGGTTCATCCGAGAGGAGGAGGAGGGCATCACTGGCACCACATTCACCTCATCAGGGGAGGAGGAGTAGGGATGTGAGTAGGAATAGGGCCTCGGGAAATGGAACTGGGAGTATGGTGGGCAGGGATCGAGAGAGGATGAGGGATTCGTCGGCTGCGCCCAGCAGTAGCAGCAGGATACGGGCGCATAGCGCGACGCTGCATCCGGAGAATTATTATGCAGAGGAGAGGAGGAGGCTGAGGAGTGAATCACGGCAACGGGAGGCGGAAGAGCGGTCGAGGCAGCTTGAGCACCAGTCATCTCTCAGGTCACTGATCAGCGCGGATGGCCTGGGCGATATCGATATCGAGCGGGAGATTGAGGAGTTTGCGCGACAGATCCAGGAGGAAGGGCTGCTGGATGGACTGGATCTGGATAACATCGACTTGGACAACAACGATGAGCTCAGCAAGAAGATCATGGAGGCGTACAGGAGACGACACCGGGAGAGGATACGGGCGATTGCGGAGAGGAATGCGAGGAGGAATACTACTGCCAGTACGACGCAATCATATAGGCCGGAGCCCTTGACGATCTCGAGGACGAGACCGCCATCGGATCACGCTACGCAACCAGCGAGCGTACGCAGTGGAGTTTCACGGTCGAGGGAACCAAGTGCCAGCAGTAACGAAGAACGGCATCGATATCCTCCATCCGCGGGTTCGGCGCATTTGGAAGTTCAGGGAGCTTCGAGAAGGCGAAGGACGACAAGCGGTGGCAGCCGGAGTTCGACCGTGCCAGTCCCGTCACAAGGCGAACAACCACCTCCCCGTGTGTCAGCCCACCACCGTTCACAGACCGAAACGACGCAACCAATCAGACCAAGCGCGGGTGTGGTCACGGAGACACGAAGCTCCAGTTCACCAACCATCAGCAGCAACCCGCTACTGACAACAGCCACGGCAAACTCATCAGACATGAGGGCTCTGTCGTTCAATGCTCGAGTGGCGGGGATAGGGGGCATACAACCACCCACGCAAACAGACGGTTCTTCGGATTCTGATAATTCAGGGAGGAGAAGGACAAGGACGACCACTGATCGACGACCTTCTGCACAATCAGAACTTGCTTCCGCCTCGTCGGTACCCAACTTTGTATCAACCTCGGGCCCCGTAAGCACCCATCTGGGCGGCACACCACCAGCACAGCCACCGCCCACCATGCCGCGTTATCCGGAACCCGTCATCAACTGCAACGGCTGCGGCATGGAGCACATCGAGTATAAACTTCACTTCAACTGCTCCATCTGCCACAACGGCGACTGGAACATTTGTCTCGACTGCTGGCGCAAGCGCAAAGGATGTCTCCATTGGTTCGGTTTCGGCTACGCCGTCTGGCACCGATGGAACAAGATCAAAGCAAGTCACCCAAACCTTCCTCCTCCACACCGGCTGATCGCCGTCCGGTACATGCCGCCTCCCAAGCCAAGCGACACCAGTCCTCGCGCCCGCAGTCTAGCCAACCCTCTCGACCGCCTTCAAAGCGGTACGTTCTGCTGCCGCTGCTCTGCTTTTGCCAATGAGTGCTACTGGCGCTGCGAGTTCTGCAATGAAGGCGAATGGGGATTCTGCAATAACTGCGTCAATCAGGAAAAAGCATGCTCGCACCCCTTGCAAGCCCTCACTTATATACCTCCATCTTTGTCCGGCTCTCCCAGCGGTACACCACCAACTGATGCTGCGGAATCAACCAGCCCGCTCGCAAACCCAACAGCAGCAACCACAACCCCAACCCACTCCCGCTCCTCTTCCATCTCCCGCCCCTCATTCCTGTCTCTTCCACCCCCCTTCTCAAGACCCAACCTCTCCGGCCCCGCCACCGGCGCCTACAGACCTCTAACCTTCTCCCCGCCCTGCGAACTCTGCTCTGTCCCCATTCCTCCCCACGAACCACGCTTTCACTGCCCCTCTTGTCCATCCAAGCACACGCTCCAGCCACGGGCAGGCGAATACAACCTCTGCCAGGGATGCTACGACTCCCTGGTTCCCGGTTCCGTAGCCGAAGAAAACGGTCCCCGCGGTTGGCGCCGCTGTCCACCCGCCGGCCACCGCATGACCATCGTTTCCTTTATCACCGACGACCGCACCGGTGTTGAAAGGAGGAAAGTGTTGAACGAGATTGTCGGCGGCCATCGCCTGAAGATTGAGAGTTTCCTGCTCGGGGGCGTAAGGGGAATGCAGATTTGGAGTTGGCAGCATGACGCAGACTCTTCTTCCTCATCATTACCACCACTACCCTCTCCCACATCCGACACTTGTTCCCATGTCTCGCATACCTCGCATACCTCACATACCTCACATACCTCCCATGCGTCCTCATCTTCCAAAGCAGACCAAGGCGACACCAACACCAACAACAACAACAACAACAACGACAACGACAACGAAGAAGACAAGCAACCCAAAAAATTCCTCCTTCTCCAACGTCTAGTCTCCCTAGACGTCTCCCACCCCGCCGCCATCTCACCCAGTCAAGAGGAGGGAGAAGGGGAACCGTTAATATCCCCATCATCACCACTTTTCTCACCAACATCGCCTGGCACCTCATCATCATCATCATCAGCAGGACCCCACCACCACCACGGCCGATTGACAACAACCGACCTTTTCCCACCTGATGGCGGCACGGGAACACGCGTGGTTGCTCGGTTTAGCTGGTACCGATCTTCCCCGGAAGCCAAGAACGAGCTGATTTTCCCCAAGGGGGCCGAGATCACCGAGGTGGAAGGGTTGAATGAGGAGTGGGGGGTGGGTTGGTATATGGGTGAAGTGGGACTGTTTCCTAGGGGGTATTGTATGTGAGGTGATTTTTTTTGCCTTTTTGATTATCATACATTACTGTGAATGGAAGGGTATTTGAAACGGACGGTGGAGGGAGTGGGTGGTTCGGTGAGATGGATGGATGGACGGGTAAATGGAGGAAGGTTGATGAGGGAATGAAGATGATGAATGAGAACATGAAAGCTTGAATGGTACTGGTACTACCCTACCTACTGATGACTAGCTAATTCATAATGAGTGAGTGAGTGAGAAGGAACTTGTTGAAAGTTAGGTGACATATCAAACTTGTGTGAATTAAGGTGCATTCATCCATTAGGCAAGGCAATTATTTGTGTTATGTTCAAAAAAACCCTTTTAGATTGTATATTACGATTTCGTGACCATCCAACTGAATGCCATAGTTGACACCGAAAATATGGATGTCTTGAGACTACTGCTTTTTCCGTCTATGGGAAAACGACATTCACACCTAACCAAATAAATCCCAGTTCAACTTTCCGGAAAGTGGATATATCCCCTTATAGCAATGAAATTTCTTCGCAGGCTTTATAAACACGGACGAACGAAAAAGGGAGCGCAAACAGAGAGCGAGAAAAGCAAGTACAAGCCACGCCCCCCCCCCCCCCCCCCCCAAATCAAGACGGTTTCTTCTAGCCCTGTCTCGCCAAAGCCCGACTCCTCTCCTTTTCCCTCTGCAGCTTCTTGAAGAAAGCGCTCTGCTCCGCCTTGGCGGCACCCTTCTTCTTCAACCCCTTGTTCGCCGCCTTGTTCTGCTCAATGTACGCCATATCCTGGCCACCACTGAGCTCGCCCAGGGTTCCAGCCATTCTCCGAACCGCCGCCGCTCTGCCCTTTGCACCACCACCCCTTCCGCGCCCAACCTTACCAAACAGATCGTCCGTCTCGACATCATCCTCGGCGCCCTTTTCGTTGTCGACCAGCGTGCGCTGCAGCAGCTCGCGCCGCTCCTGCGCCGTGGCAAAGGCCAGGTCGGGCGTGTTCTCGATGTTGGCCAGCTGCGTGATCACCTTGAAGGCGTAGCCCTGGTCGACCAGGAAGGCCTGGCGCTTGGACGAGTAGTACATTTCCTGCGTGTCTTTGGACACGAGCGAATAAAAGAAGGCGTTGAAGCCGACGTCGTTACGGCGCTTGGCTCGGAGGATACGGCCTAGGCGCTGGGCTTCCTGACGACGGGAACCGAAGTGGGAGGAGATCTGGATGAGACAGGTGGCTTCGGGCAAGTCGAGCGAGGTGTCGCCGATCTTGGAGAGGAAGAGCGTGTTGACTTGCGGGTTGTGCTGGAAGTTTTCGAGCACCTGCATGCGCTCGGCTTGGCCGGTGCCGCCGTAGATAAAGACCTTGTTCAGCTTGAGGGCGTATTGTTTTAGTGAGTACAGCTCGTCGGAGAAGACGATGATCTTGTCGCCGCGGGCTTCGTGGTAGTTGATCAGGTACTGGCAGGCTTGGAACTTTCGGGGGTTCATGGCGTAGAGAGTGCGCTTCATACGCGAGTTGGCACGAAGATACTCGTCGTAGAACTCGGTGGGCATGGGGCACCACACCTCTGCGCACTGGACCTTGGCGATGTGACCCTTTTCGGACAGCTCCATCCAGTTGGCCTCGTAGAGCTTGGGGCCGATAAGGAAGTTCAAGTGGGAAATCTTGTCGTCTTCTCTGAGCAGGGTGGCTGTGAGACCCAGCTTGGAGTGCGACTTGATGGAAGAAATAACTCTTCGGAAGACGTCGGCAGGGACGACGTGGACCTCGTCGAGAAGCATCAGACCCCATTCACGACTCTTTAGGAAATCCATCATCTTCTTGGAGTCGTGAGATCGTTCTCGGTTGTTGGTAACCATAGAATATGTAGTAACAATGATACCAGTATTACCAGAGAACTTGTTCTTGCTCTCAGCGGTAAAGACGGCAATATCGTCGGGGTTGATGTTGGACCACTTGAGGAACTCCTGGCGCCACTGCACGACGGACATACTGCTGGTACACAGGACGATGACACCCTTCTTGATGGTGCAGGCAGCCGTGATGCCGACCAAAGTCTTGCCTGCACCACACGGCAGAACAATGATGCCACTCTTTGCTCTGCCGTTACCAAACATTTTGCTAAGACTCTGCTCCTGGTACGGACGAATCTGTGTGTTTGGCCGCAAATCGATTTCCAGATCCGCGTTATTAGAGTCGTTCCTGAAGTCGTACTCTTCCAAGATGGGAAAGCCTAGGTCAAGACAGCGTCGTTGGACAATCTCGACGGCGGTTTCGGGGATCTCAAAGGCGTGGACGGCGTCCTTGTCGTCCTCGTCGTCTTCCTCATTGATGGCTGCGTAGAGGTCGGCCTCGTTAGTCGCCGCAGCGCCCGCGGTCCCGTCCTCGGCAGTCTTCTTGTTGCCAGACTTGTTGAGGTCTGCTTGGTTCACACCGGCAGCATCTTTTGTGCCGGGGATGACCAGGCCGCCCATGGTGGGCGCATAGGAGGTGGTAATATCACCGGAGCCCTGGACACGCCACTTTCCGATTACTTCATCGCGGAGCAGCTTCTGCAACAACTCGGCATCCGAGCTTTCTACAAAGTACTTGTTGTTATTTAGCACGAGTTTCACCTTGCCGTAGCTCTTTGTGCACGACTCAATGAAGAGGCGAATGGACTCGGGAAGGGGGGTCTTGAGGAAGCGATCCAGGGTATCTATAATGTCCTTTGACTGCAGACCAATGGACACACCAGCGTAGAGACTGTGTGCTGTCAACTGATACTCATGCAGGAAGTGCGGCCGTGACTTGGGCTCGGCAATGGTGACGAGGAAGTCGGTGACGCGGTCGGCGTCCGGGCTGAACTTCTCGAGGATGATGGTGCCCTTCTCCGGGTCGATCCACAGCGGCTTCTGGTCGTGGTCGGGTTTCAAGTTCAGATACGAAAAGTCGCGTTTCCCGCTGCCAAAGAACTGGGTGGCGCCGTCACGATGACTGCCGCCACCGTCCTGTCGGCTCTGGAAACGGCTACTATCGACGGCCCATGTATTGACAAACTCGTCGGCCTCGCGGGCAATCACCTCCTCCTTCCTCTTGATGGTCTCGTCGACGTCGTCGTCGTTCAAATCATCATCGCCGTCCGACTGGAACGAGCTCTCGAGGCTGCGGGGAGTCGCGGGGCCGGGAGTGGACAGGGCCGAAGTGCGGCCAGCTTTGGCAACGCCGGCCTGGGGGGCGCCGACCGCTTTTCGCTTGGGCGGCATTATATGACGAAAATGTGATCTCCTTTCTTTCTTTCTTGTCTCTGCTCTGTTTTATCTATTTCTAGCAGTTCAGTTCTAGAAGGATGGATTAGCAGGCGGACGAATGTAGAATGCCAGTGCAGTGGCAAAAAAAAGAATACAAGGTTGAAAGGACGGGAGTTTGAAATGGATGATGAAATTCCACTTTGTCTTTTGTACGCTACGGTAGATACCTGGCTCTACACAGAGGTATTGTAGTGTAGGGTACAAGTACAGGCCTTGTTTGCTTACACTGCGGTTACAGGTTGTCCTGTTATGGAAATTGTTAAGGCGACAGGGGCCAGACACGCTAGTTTAGTCATCAGCCACGCTTATTTTGTGGGGAAGCGAGTCTTCTGGAGCCAACCTGGAAGTGGAGGGAAGGAACCGTTCGTTCGGCGTTCAGTGCACTCCGTCGCAGGCTCCACCCGTGTCACCCGCTGTCCAGTCCGAAAAGCACCCCGCGTTGAGTGGTGGTCGGGTCGGGTCTGGTCTGGGTGGGTGGTCGAAGGGGGGGGCGACGGGACCACCGCGTTAAGTGTCGTGATGAAGTTCGGTGAACCCTTTTTTTCCCGGACGTGAACATTGGCGATCCAGGAGAACCGACGTCGAAAGAATCTTGGTGTCATACATACCACATAGAACCCAAAACCGACGAAATATCCAAAAATCAGGGATCAAAACGAGCCATCTACCTCTCTGCGCATGAGTAACCTCTTCCTGTCTGTCATCATGTGGTAAGTAAAACTCCCACCTGGCATGCCATGACTAGACACCTCGGCATGCCTTCCTTCTATGTTCCCCTTGTTTGCTCGTGTAGACCACCTCCAAGTCCACGAGCCGTCTGCTAACTAGAACCTCTTCTACCCAGTAAACACGTTCTCAACGCTCAAGTCTCCATCCGGTCACCATGCTGTACGTAACCTCAACCTCAAATAAACGAACCACCACGATTCCCTGTCACCATCATACAACAACATGGAACGTCGCAGCCATACATACATACATGACCTAACACTACACCCACCTCCTACGCAGGCCGCAAATGGTTCGACTGCCCCGAATGCCACGCCGAGTCCGAGTCGCACCCCCTTAAGAAGACGCTCGAGATGACGTTCGCCTGCAAAAAGTGCAAAAAGTGTTTCCGCAAGGATGCGACCGAGTTCGAGGATTCCGACGAATACTGCCCGCACTGCGACAACCACTACATCATCGAGGCCGTGACGCCCAAGGCCGCCCTCCGGGTCGAGGGCGAGGATGCGAGAATGGATGCGCGCATGCTGAAGGACGAGAGAGTCAAGCAAACGAAGAAGACCATGAACCAGATCTCGATATTTGACCCGGATGTGGACGCTGATAAGCTTGGTTGAGTGGTTGGGCTGTTGGAGTTGGAGTACGGGATTACAACGCAGCGAGGAAGGGAAAAAAGAGATACCATTTAGAGAAGCATATAATCAAGATGGGTGGCTTATTGTCACTCGCATCATATGGCACATCGCACCATCGTTCCGTCCGTTCAGGACCTTGCTTGGTCGTCATTCGTGGTATTACTTCTGTACCTAAAGGCGTCTTTCTATGTTTTTGAAACGTGGTACGCAGTAGCAGCAGCATCAAGACATCTCTGCTACATCATGCCATACCCATCTCCGCCGCCACAGACACCTTTACTCATTCGGCTTGCTCTCGCCAAACCCCCCCTTTAGTGGTCACCTGGCTCATCCTGGCTCCTGGTCAGTATGGCAGCAGTGCCCGTACCAGGAGTCCGGCCCTTCTTCTTCTTGTCCGCCTCCTCCTGCTTCTCCTGCTCAATGTTCTTGACGTAGTTCTCGATATCCTCCACAGGGAGCATCTCGAGCTCCTTGCCGGGAGCCATGATGGCAATCTCAATGTTCTTGGCGCCCGTCTGCACAACTTCGAGTAGGGACTTGATGGTCAGGCGGATCGTAGCCTCCCGGTCCATGTCGTCCTTGTAGTTGCGCTCGAGGAATTCGCGAACCGTCTTGCTTGACCGGCCGATGGCGTTGGCTTTCCTGCGGGGGTGTTAGCTCCATCCGTGCTCAGGACTGTCTGTGTGGTGGTAGGTTTGTGTGGACTGACCATGCAGAGTAAATGCCCGAGGGCTCGGTCTGGTAGAGTCTGGGAACATCGCTGCCGTTGTCGAAGCCGACGATCAGGGTGCTAATACCAAAAGGACGAACACCACCACTCTGTGTATACCGCTGCTGCACACCGGCAACATACTTTGTGATGTACTCAATCGTGACGGGGTCCTCAAGGTTGAGACGGTGCGACTGGGCTTCTAGGCGAGCCTTGTCCACCAAGATTCTGGCATCGGCGTTCAGCCCGGCAAAGGCGAGGCAAACGTGCTTGTCAACCAGGCCAATCTTGGAGGGGGTGATTCTTGTGTCTTGAAGCTTCATGGCCGACCTCTTTTCGCAACCAAGGACGACAACATCCTTGCCCTTTACGCCCACCGCGCAGGTACCTATGTGTATCTCCGCGTTAGATACCTGTAGGACCTCCAACCGAGCTGGGACAGTGTCGGGTCTAGGCGACAGCGCATACCTCTCTTGACAGCTTCACCGGCATACTCGACTTGGAAAACGTGTCCATCGGGACTATTCGAATGTTAGTTGGTGGGGTTCTCGGGGTTCGCATCGCATAACGTCGATATCGAGGTGTGACGGACCTGAAGACTGGATGAGGTTATGGGTTAGCGGGGCCATGATCGCGGCTGGGGCAGAGACATGGATGGACATGGGAATGTGGACGAGGTGATGATGTACCTGATAGAGCTCTGTCGTATCCGGACGCCATGGTTTACTGCTGGGTATCAATCGTGGTGTTGTTGGGTTGGTAAATCGGAGCTGATGCGCCGGGGAGATTAGGTAAATAACAGGACTGGTAGTGGTCGCAAGTATGGCAAGGAAAACAAAGCCGTGTTGTTGGTTGGCAAGTGGATGGACTGAAGTTGGGGTTCGGGATGGAGGCTGCGAAGCTGTGACGACTGACGACTTGAACGGGAGCTTCCACCTCTCAGCGTCAATGTCCCCTCAAACAGGCCCAAGCTCAGGGCAGGTACAACAGCGGGATACCTCTATGCCCCTGTAGCACTGTGGCAGGCGGGAACAACTGCGGGCAGGCAGGCAGGCAGGCAGGCGGGCAACGACGCGCTGCTGCTCTGAAAGGCCAGACCCTGTAGAGGTACCTGTCTTCTCTTGGCTATCTAGTGTACGAAAACAACAGCTTGACAAATGCCAGTAGTATGGAGCACTAACAGAATTCGCCACATGTCATCGCATCTCATTGTTAGTTCCTTATCAGTTGAAAGACTTTTTGACTCAGTTCTGCTTCAAGCGTAGTCAGCTAACCCTGGTGAAAGTCATTGACACCACAGCCAACCCTGGTTGGTGTTCCAGAAAGTCTACACTGGAGTTCCCAAGGACGGGAGAAGGAAGCAATTGGTGAATACAGCGATATCGGGAACAAGGACGACCAGGTTCTCAAAATACCTGTAAGAAAGTTTCCGTTTTCTTTTTTTTTCCTGTTCTCTCTTTGCAACTCCAGAGACTAGTCCATCATCACCAACATGGCCTGCCGACATCGGTCCTCGACGACAACTCTCGCCAGACTGGCCAAGCCAGCAAGACTCACTCCCAGACTGAGCACTCAGCCCCAGCTTCAGTCCCAGGTTGCGTCGGCGGTCCGGTGCTTCAGCAGCTCTCGTCCCCGCCAGCTCAAGGAGACAAGATGCCAGCAGGGCAAGTTCACCAGCGAGACCTACCCTGAACTCAAGAGGGATCCTCGCTATGGTCAGGTCACCAAGGAGCATGTCGACTACTTCAAGGGTCTTTTGGGCACCGAGTCTGCTGTCATTGATGGCGTGACCAACGAGAACGCCACCGATGATATCGAGCCCTTCAACAGCGATTGGATGCGCAAGTATCGTGGCCACTGCAGACTCGTCCTCAAGCCAAGCTCGACTGAGGAGGTCAGCAAGATCCTCAAGTACTGCAATGACAACAAGCTGGCTGTCGTCCCCCAGGGCGGCAACACCGGTCTCGTTGGTGGCTCCGTCCCCGTCTTCGATGAGATTATCCTCAACATGGGTCGCATGAACAACATCATCGAGTTCGACGAGGTTTCCGGTATTCTGACTGTCGAGGCTGGTGCCATTCTCGAGGTTGTTGACCAGTTCCTGGCCAGCAAGGGCTACATCTTTCCCTTGGATCTCGGTGCCAAGGGTTCGTGCCATATCGGCGGCAACCTCTCAACCAACGCCGGTGGTCTCCGTCTCTTGAGGTACGGAAGCTTGCATGGAACGACCCTCGGTATCGAGGCTGTCCTTCCTGATGGCACCGTTGTCGATGATCTCTGCAAGTTGCGCAAGAACAACACTGGCTACGATATCAAGCAGCTCTTTATTGGCTCTGAGGGCACTATTGGTGTCATCACCAAGGCTGTCATCCAGTGCCCCCAGCGCCCCAAGGCTCAGAACGTAGCCTTGTTCGGTCTCGAGTCCTATGAGGCTGCCCAACAGGCCTTCCGCGAGGCCAAGGGTCACTTGTCCGAGATTCTCTCTGCTTTCGAGCTCATGGACGCTGGCAGCCAGGCTCTTGTGCGCCAAGTTACCAAGAAGAACTCGCCTCTCGAGGGCGAGTACCCCTTCTACTGCTTGATCGAAACCAGCGGATCCAACTCCGACCACGATGGTGAGAAACTCCAGACCTTCCTCGAGGACGTCATGGAGAAGGGCATCGTTGTCGACGGCACTCTTGCCCAGGACGAGACCCAGGTCAAGGCTCTTTGGAGCTGGCGTGAAGGCATCACGGAAGCTCTTGGTCACCTTGGTGGTGTGTACAAGTACGATGTCTCCATCCCTCTCCCCGAGATGTACCAGCTTGTCGAGGACACCAAGGCCCGCGTTGAGGAGGCCGGCCTCCTCGGTGACACGGATGAGCACCCGGTGCGTGCTGTTGTAGGATACGGACACATGGGCGACTCCAACCTTCACCTTAACGTGTCTACCCGTCGCTTCGACGAACGGGTGGAAAAGGTTCTTGAGCCTTTCGTCTACGAGTGGATCTCCAAGCGTCAGGGCAGCATCAGCGCCGAACACGGTCTTGGCCTCGCCAAGAAGAAGTACATTGGGTACAGCCGTACTCCCACCATGGTCGGGTTGATGAAGCAGCTCAAGGACCTCTATGACCCGGTAAGTTGATGAGCCTATGACACACCCTGGTTTCTTGCCCCGCCCGCCACCAGCCCTACTGCCCCTAGTTCGACCCCGGAATCACATCGCCCTCAACTGCGGCCCCAAATTATGACCTCCTGCTAACCAGTGATTCTCTCAGAACGCCATCTTGAACCCTTACAAGTATATCTAAAAAGCCCACACCTTTGTTCATTTGGATGAAAACATCATTTCTTCCAGATCCTGTATTTATGCGGCGGTGACTCGCTCGACTTCCACCTGGACGGATTCTCTCCTGTCCAACATACCCTTCAGGAGTCAGAGCGGGTTCGGGCCGGTGATACCACTTCAAATTATATTCCCCCTGAGCCTTGTTTATCCGCCTTGCAGCCATCTCCTTTTGTTTATTCAGGTTGGCTTGGTAATCATGATGGACGTTCATTGCAGTCAATCATGTCGTCAACGACCGCCCATCACTGCAGATTCTCTCGAACTGTGTAGTCGGTGCTCCCGAAGGCGTAGTCTTTGGCTTGGTAAGCTGATTGGCCGCAGAGCGAGTAGTGAGCAAAGCACCACATCACACATCTCAGCGAACGAGAATCGCCGTCAGGCTTCAAAACACCGGACAGTCACCATTGACGACGCCAGTCCTCGTACACTATATACCTGTTTCCGCTTAGTGGCCAATCACAAGCCGACATTCCTCTTACATACCACCTTCCATGCCATTCCGTCTGACCAGCCCCATCCGTCAGCCCGTATGCTGCCTGCCTATCCCAGTTGCCGAACCCCTGTGGGCTGATTTCTCCTTAGATGCAGCCCTACAGAGCCCCCTTCGAGCCATTGTTATACTTCCAAGTAGTTACTGGGCCAAAAGCCACATCTGGGGGCTTGTTGCCGCTCTTGCATCGAAGCCAAATGACTCGTTGCTGCCGACCGAGAACTACATGCTTGGTTAACCGTTGCCGCCATGCCATCTATATATGTGATCCTACATGCCATCTTTCCCGGGTCCCCCCACCCCCCATGTCATCGAGCACACTCTATGGGAAGGCTTACGAGATACGTACACCGAGGGTGGACTCTACAAAACGCATCTGCGCAACCAAGCCCTCTGCGTGACCGGCTCCATCCCCCAGAGCTCTCTTTGGTTCCGGCATTGTGTAGGTGGTGTGCCAGTCGAGTGATGGCGTCACCCTCTCGGAGTCCTCCCGACAAGCGTCTTGGGCCCTAGGTAGCCGCAGAAAACGCATTACTGAACCGACAGAAGAGAATATTTCCAGGCAATCTGCTCAGTTTCCTCGGTATAAAACGACAGGTCCGTTTCCAAGAAAGTTCTTCTGATCATGAGGCTGCCTCGGCCGTGACTCGGAGAAGGCTGTACTCTCTCATGGTTGGTTCACTTTGGTCATTGAAGGTTTTCTCATCCCATACGAGAAACGGTCAGCCAGCGTTTCCTACTCATCAGCCTCGGGTGGCTGTCTGCTTCCAACTGGTCAGCAGATACTGATCAAGTTTTGTACTGTATATCAAGGCCTCAGGCCCTTACCCTTTTGGCTGACCTCTTATGCCTGATCTGTCCTACCTATTTGCCTGCCTGCCTGCCTGCCTGCCTACCTCTGACTACTACCTATCTGCTACCTTGCGGTTGGACCCCCATCACACACACATAACGGGTCTACCCATCAGCAATAGTTCAAGAGCTGAGTGAACCGCACCGCTGTAACTTGTCAACACTGTTTGGTAGATACTTGTCTCGTCTTTTCGGGTTTCTTCCCCTTTCAGACACTCGTTCAAGAAGAATCAGAAACAAGCAAATCTACCCCTTTCCATTGTCCTGTTACTATCTTCATCATCCAAACTACTTGATAAAGATGGTCGGAGTTCCCGGAAAATACAAGGGCTGCAATTCTTGCCGCGTCCGGAGAGTCAAGGTAAGAACCATATCCATCCCCGCAGTGGCAGCTTTCTTGTGAGCAAGCAACTAATGCAACTAGTGTGACAACGAACGACCCTTTTGTAGGAAGTGTATCGATAGTGGTCGCGAGTGTCTTGGCTATAAGCGTGAAACCGTCTTCATTGTCGGAACCATCGAGGACGGCGGGCGTTGTTCGTCTCATCCGCCAAGGGTCATCAAGTCCAAGAAGGCCAAAGCTTCAACCTCATCGAAAAGTGGAGGAGAGGAAGATAGGGAGACTCCGCGGCAGAGGCATCAGAAACATCGTAATCTGGAGCTCTTTCCGGATCAGCCGCTCCAGTCGGTCTGGGACGACTTGATCATGCTGTCCACGAGCTCGGGGACGAAGTACAACGTACAGTTTACGGCTCTGAATACTCGGCTTCAGAATGTTGTCCGCGGTAGTGGCGGCAACAGAGAGGCTACAGGCGAGTTCATTGTGAGCTCGATGGCGGATTACGAAGTCTCGAATGTACAGCTTGATTTCAGTGGCCAGGACTTCGAGCTGAAGTCACAGTGTTTGATTAGTTTACCGGGAAGCCAGGACAGAGATCCATACATGCCATCGATCGGCTCATGCATCATGCTTTACGAGGTGAGATATTTCATTGTGATAATAACAATCAAGTACGGGATAAAGTTGTGTTCATAACACTAACAGAATCTACAATAGCACAACAACTCGACTCTCCACACGAATCTCTATAGCAGCCAGTCACTGATCAAGAATTCGGGCGCTCAAAGTGATCCCATTAGACGCGCAGGGCCAGAGAAATTCCAGACATTCCCTAACCATCACTTCTTTGTCCGAGTCTACCGGCCTAATGCTGTGAGTCCCCATCCGAGTGCTGATAGCAATATGATTCGGAAACATTCGACTAACCACTGTCTGTTAGATCCTGACCGCACTGCTCAACCGCACCCCGACTTTTCTCGAATCCGCAGAATGGACCTCCACTCCCTGGGAGAAGCACCCCAAGTCCATCCTTGATCAGCTTTTCGACATAATCACCCTCCTACCTCGCAACCTCTGGCGAGCAGACCGAGTCGCCGAAGAAGTGCCCACGCTTGCCCGTCGTCAGCGTGCTCAAGACCTCTTGATTAGCTGTCTCAACATCGAACGACAACTCAACGCCTGGTCTTCATCCTTCAGCGCCGAGAGAACAACCGCTATTTCACGCCAGACAGCCGCTGTCATCACACCCTCCTCGTCCTCAACATCGATGTCAGACTACGGGCAATCTCCGGCCTTCCAAACAACTCTACCAACCACAACAGCAACCTACCCTTACTTCCCCCCTTCCTCATCACCCTGTTTCCAGTCCCATTCCCACTCTTACTCCCAAACCCAACCCTCCTCCCATTCCCACCGCCGCTCCTTATCCAATTCGACTTCCATATCCCACTCCAGATGTACCCCCTCCCCCACCCCCTCCGCCTCTGCTTCCTCCCCACGCTTCCAACCCTACCTAACAACCTCCCCTCATTCTCGCTCGCATAAACCCCTCCAACAAAGATCTCGCCGCACCTCTCCATCCTTCACAACTCGCCCAACCACTCCTTACGGCTATTCGGCAGGATACCCCTTCACCAAACCCCCCTTAACCTTCCCCACCTCCCAGCTCGCCCTGTCCTATATTTTGTATTGCACCAGCCTCATGCAGCTCTACCAGACAATCGAGCGCGTATACTGGAGTATCTTCGAGCCGTTAGACCTTACCGACCTTCCTACCGGAAACCACCTGCACAGCAGTATCCAGTTACAGATGCAGGCGCAGATACAACAGCTTCCAGTTGATCTCATCCCCGACCCGGCGAGGTACGGAAGTAAGGCGGTAAGGGAATGGGCAGAGAGGGCATGTAGGAGCTTGGAGTTTGCATTGAACAACAACATTAACAACACTGGTAGTGGCGGTGGCAGTGGCGGTGGCGGTGTCGACCCGGAACTGTTGGCTTATCCTCTTCGTGTGGTAAGGGCGTTTTATGAGAGTTTGGGGGCTACTCCTACTTGGGAGAACCTCGGTGTTGGCATGGGCGTGGATGTGGACATGATGGGGGTTGATGGCATGGGTATGGGCATGGGCATGGGCATGGGTATGGAAATGAACATTGGCATGAATCATCAGAATATGATGACTGGCGGGATGGGAAGTATGAGTTACTCGGCAGGTATGGAAAACTTGAATATCTTCTCGACGACGCCCACGCCCACGACGACGACAGCGGCAATTATGATGCAACAACAACAGCAACAACCTCAGGCACCGCCGCCGGACGGCAGACTGGAGGTTATGTGGTGCGATCAGTTTAGGGAGAGGTTGAAAGTTAGGGGGGCGGAGATATCCAGCTCTATTGTGGGTGAAGGAAAGAAGTGGAGGGAGATTGCTGCTTTTGGGTATTGAGGCCAGACAGGCAGATACGGGAATGAGACAAAGACGGGTGGTGTACGGGTTATTAGATGAGAACACGATGCAATGATGGAGATCAGGGGCTGGCTTTTCTTTACTCTATCTTGACTTTTCTCCGTCCATTTTTCTTTTCATTCCAGGGGACATAAACAAATAAGATACTTACCGGCTGGAACACGCTGGGCCTCGCGAGAGGTTTGAAGAAACGTATTGGGACGGTAAAGGACGGTTTTGCGTTTGCTTTTTGGGGTTTTGGGACACTGCTTTTTGTTTATAGTTTGCTACTGTGCTGTGTTTATCAGTGGTTTTTCTCAAATGGAAACTCGCTCTTCTCATGTCGTGAATTTTCTCCAATTTTGCTACCTTGTACTGGCATGATCTACTTCCATTTATGTGTTCTTTTCCTCTTCTTTTGCCATAAATGCGATAACTACCATAGAAGCCTGCCAAATTCGGACTCGGGTAGCTACAAAATCTGCCAGAATCAAGCACTTGAAGCAACATAACGCACTGGTGAGGACCTCCGGATCTGACCTATTGAGAAGCTGTTACAGTCTGGAACTTTATTTCCACCTAAATTCGGCATTTGCACATATACCCGAGTCCCCATTCTGGCAACTTTCTACGATATCGAATTTGTCTCTACGGCTCTAGTACCCCGAAACCCAAATCGAACTTTGCCTCTCCTCGGTCATACCACTCGCTGTCTCACACGTGGTGGATCAACAAAAGTATCAAGATCTTGTGCTCACGCCTGACACATTTGCCACCTTGGCTTCTTTCACCGCAGGCTAACAGCGGCTTATGTGTACTAGATCCCTTGGTAGGCCACTCACACCTACCTACCTACCTACCTACCTACCTACCTACCTACCTACCTACCTACCTACCTACCTACCTACCTACCTACCTTACCCATCTATTTCACGCAGACATAGCACACACGACTAAACACCAAAACGGTGAGACTTGGTTGTCAACCTCATTCCTTTTCCTTCTTTGGGATAACCCCACTCGATGAATATCTACCTACCTATCTACCTACCTACTTTAAGCCTTTCTTCACAACATGTACCCAACACAATACAAAAGTGTTTATAAAGAGTATTTATGTGGAAACCATCACACGACCAATACGTGAACGAAACACAACGAAACGAAATACCTACCTTACCTTACATAAGCCCCCCCCCCACGAACAGCCATGTGCAGCCCTCCATTACCCCAGAGAACCAAACCGGATGACGGCTCGGCGTGGCTGCGACTGTGAATCTCACACCGCAACACACACACACTTGCATCCGCGAATCTAAGTACCTAGGTTGATCTAACATAACCTAATCATTCTGTAATGGTCACATTCAATAATGCAAGGAGTTGGTGCGTCGCCATAGCCAGGTCAGGCATTACTGAGACCAAAACCAAGACCAAGACCAAGACCGCTTGTTCATTCTAGGCACGTACCTAGAGTGAGTGTCAGTCGGTCGGTCAGTAAGACGAAAGTGTAAGGCGTTCGTCGTGTCGTGGGGGGAGGGGGGATCAGGATGTTAGACTAGGGTTTCATTGAATCTGACAGTGACTGACTGCTATGGGAGTCACAGCCTTGTGGAAGTGGGTAGCTAGGTATGTGTTGATGCTTAGAAGTACTTGTTGCTTTTAGTACCTCTAGGTATGTTAGGTAGTGAGGCTGCAGGAATAAGACGAGTGCACTTGTTCTGGTGGTTGTTTGTTGGGTTATGTTGCATGACAGGCTGTTGTCATGGTCCTTACAGTCATCGGATTATACATAACCCCCGGACCAAAAAGCCGAGTAGTCATCGTATCTACGTTTTCGTAAGATGACGAACGAGGCTTACGAGTTTGGTAGTATATCTGCGGAGACCAGAAACAGAGTTCTAGTATTCCGATGTGATGGGAATTCCGCAGTGATGTCAGGTACGGCATTACTAACACACTCCCTTTTTTCTTTTTTCCACTCGCTGTTTTCTTCCCAACTACAACTCTTCCCATCTCCACCTCCGTTTTTCGTTCACCGTTGAGAAGGGAATGAAAGCGACATGTCTTTTATCCATTATCGTCCCCGTTTTTTGTTTTTTACCTAGTTCGGTACATATTACTACTCATTTACCGAGCTGAGGTGTGCTGTTTGATGTGGCTTCGTCTTCATGTATAGGTACACCATTGCTTACCAACTGTTATGGCAACCTTGTCACCTTGAAACGAATATTCCACTTATCCAGTTGATTAACCCACACTTGGTACTTGTCACTTGAGCCGCGTACTTACCTTCGTTGTGACAAACCCATAATTCGGAATCGAATACATACGCAGTATACGTACAAGAACATGTGATTGGCTGACTGTGACGAACTTGGGAACCTGAGAGTTGAGATGTGACAAAACAAGAATCCTTTTTGTCCTGCTATGTGCACCAAAACACACTCCAAGCGCCGATAACAAGAGATTCTCACCTCGGCGTTTCCGTGCAGATAATTGTGAGAAGAGACTGAAGAAAGGAAAATGTGGTTGCTCGATTTGCAGAGCAACGGCGAGGCATACGAAGAGACTGACACTTAGCTTACTGTGTTCTTAGCATGCCGTTAATCTGAATATGGTTATGTGTTGGTTGCTGGGTTTCGGGGTTTGACGGTTGACGGTTGCGGTACCCGGCCAAGCGGTTAATTTGATACCCAGGTCGCCGAGTGAGGGACGCTAGATGATGCAAGTACCAGCCGGCTCCGACATTCATGTACATCGACGGACGCTGAAGAGACATTACAAGCTACAACCGCTATTATAAGCACCCCAACCGCTCGGTATCACCATCTTCAAGCAAACCCACATCCTCATCTACAATATACTCCCCTGACTACTCCCCGCAAAACTCCCACTCCTCCCTTCCCTCGTCCCACCCTGCCCCTGGAAATAATCCCTCCTCTCAACACCCAACAGCCCAGCACTCTCTCCCCTTCCCTCCTCCCTCCCCAGCCCACTCCCCATTCTCCCACTGCCAATACCCCCCGCACCCCCCGCTCCGACAGCATCCCTCACCCGCTCCTCCGCCCCATTCATCACGTGCCACACATCCTTCCTCGTCAATAGTCCCTGCAACACTCCCCTCTCCGCAAAAAGCACATACCGCACCCCCAACTTCTGGAAATAGCTCACCGCCAGATGTAACGGGCTCCTACCGGGAAGGGTCAGGGGCGTCTGGTCCATCCACGGTCTTAGGTCAAGAGTAGTCAACGGGTCCGCAAGCGGCTGATGACTGAAGAAGCACTCGGTTTCGGGCGGTAGGTTCGAGGCTCTTCCGCCGGGAGAATAGAGAACGTAGGATAATTCGGCGCGGGAGATGTACCCCAAGAGCACCGCGTCGCGCGGGTTGGAGATGACGGGGTACCCGCGGTAAGGTGTGGTTTCGAGGATTTTCTGTAGTGAAGCGATCGTGTGCCCCGTGGCAGTGAGGACGATGAGGTCCGAGTCCAAGCGGGTCATGATTTGACTAGCTGGCACGTCGGGGATCAGCGGGCTCAAGTCTTCGCCCGAGTTGTTGGGGTCCAGGTAGGGGTACGAGTTGAAGTGGATCCAGGACTCGTAGATGCCTCTGCGAGAAAAGGCGTCGCCGACCCATTTGGCGATCATGACGGAGATCATGATTGGTAAAACATAAGTCAAAGCGCCGGTGAGCTCAAAGGTGATGACGACTATGGAGACGGTCATACGGGTTACGCCCGTGAGAAAGGCGGCAGCGCCGATGATGGCGTAGGTGCCGGGGGTGATGCAGGGGATGTCGGGCTCGCATTGGTGTAGGAAAAGCGGGAAGTTCGGGGCGGCGCGCTGGAAGAGTTCCATGAGGATTCCCAAGGCACGGCCGGTCAGGGCGCCGATGGCCATCGAAGGGAGGATGATACCGGCGGGGATTTGCAGGCCGAAGGTCACGGCGGCGAAGAAGAAGCCGAGGACGGCGGCGAAGATGAGTAGGGTGATGGTGCCGAAGGAGGCGGCGCCTGTCTTGCAGAGACCGAATTGGTCATCGACGATCTTGGCGCACTCGGTGAAGAGGTTGGAGACTAGCTCGGAGGTCTGGGCGCGCATGTAGTGGTTGGGGTAGTTGATGAGGGCGGTTAAGCCCGCGACGATGGCGACTTGGGTGACGGGACCGGGAAGCCACCTGGTGGATTTCTTCCATTCGGCGACGCGCATGTTGGCTTTGATGAAGAGACCGCCGTAGACACCGCCTAGGATGCCCAGAAGGACAAAAGGGACAAGTTCAAAGCCGTGCCAGCCAGACGAGTACTTGACTTGGTAAAGCACCAGCTTGCCGGATCTGAAGGGGTCGAGGGCCTGGAGAGTAACGGCAGCCGTCATGGCACACACGAAGCTCTGCCACATGGTTTTGTCGGGGAAATAGTAGGAAAGCTGTTCAAGACTGAAGAGCACGCCGCCGATAGGGGAGCCAAAGGCAACGGATATTCCGGCGGCAGCCGCTGCGGACAAAATCTCCCTCTTGCGTGCTGTCGGGGGTTAGCTTAGGACGTTGATAGGTGGATTTACTACACTACATACCTTCATTATTATTGATACTTGGAAAGAGCTTGATGAAGACGTTTGCGCAACAGCAGGCGACATGAACCAAGGGACCTTCTTTGCCCAACCACATGCCGGACGCAACAGCAAGCACAAGACCTAGCGACTTTGTCACCAAGGTCTGGATTCCTAGAAACCTGCGGATGACGAAGCCTCCTAGGACAGTCTTGATTTCGGGGATACCACTATGTTTAGCATAGATGGCATATTCCTTGACCAAGATGGCAGCAGAAACGGCAAAGGATAACTGTAGCTTAGATCAGCTGGGGTTGCCTTCATATCTTGTCGGACTTTGGGGGGAAAGCATACTGCCAGGAGTACGTAGAAGAAGTACTCGAGGAACCACTTGCCGCCTCCTGAGTAAATACCAAAAGCCTTTGCCCAGGGATACCAGCCCTGGCATTGGGCATGGTCCTCATAACCCAAGCAACATGAGCTCTTGCTCAGGTGAAAGGCTCCGCCGTCCACAGTTGAGCAGAATCCGAACTTGAGATCCGCCAGCCAATCGGTGGCTACATCGATGGCGGCAGCCAACAGACCGGCAGCCAGACCAGTCAACAGCAGAACAATCCAGACCTGGCTGTTGTCGAGGAGCAGGCGGATCCAGCCCACGAGACTGTTGGAGCCGGAAGATAGCATTCGCAGTCTTGAGCGTTCCTTGGTGTACTCGAAGATCCAGTCGATGGCGGTCAAGTCCTCGTAGCCAACTCTCCTTCCCGGGCCTTCGACATACCAATCCATGGGCCCGCCATCTTTTGACCCAGACTGAGTGCCATCCAAGCGGGTGTTTGACGTAGGTGATGGTCGGCCAGGGACATCGTGAGAGTTCCGAGGAGACCGTCCACCAGTGAAAGCTGAGAAGAGCCGCGATGGCTGTGAGAAGACGGATTGCTTTTTTTGTCTGCGCTTGAACGACATGGGCTGGTTCAGGTCATCTCGCAGAGGATCTTCATCGAGGATCATGTCGTTGTCATGATTGTTGTTGTGGTCATCATCCTCGCCCAAAAGATCCAACTCGTCCCGGTCATCTTCAATGGTTGCGCGACGGTGTTCTTCCCACTCGTGTTGGCTGTCAAATGCTGCTGGGGTTGCCGAACTGGAAGGATACCCGTCGTCCATCATCGCACTTCTAGAAGCCATGGTAAATACAATGACAGAGCATTTCCCATTCTCGTCTCAGACAGAGATGCCGGTAGAGGGGATGTCGTCTTGTTCCTGGCTTCATTAGGAGAGTTTGTCCAGCAGTGAGGCGTAGTGAGATGGCGGCGCTGTGAGGCCTGATAAGAGCATGTTCTTATCGGGGTGCATCAGGGACATGCACAGCATTGACAGGGCCAAGCCTGCTAACGCTTGGCGGTTCTGGAGTTAAGCACCTTGCCAAGACCCAAACCCACTTGATGGAAAATGCCAAGCCTTTTACATCAACGACGTCCCTTCTCTTCTTCCATTTTCTGTGAGTGCATTGACTTTCATCCCTAAAGGATTGTGACGTGGAAAAACATCTAGGAGATATTCTTAAATTCAAAACTGAATCTGAACTTTCGGCTTGTGTGGGAATCAAAGTGGACAATCTCCCGTACAAACTAATTGTCCAGCAGCAAGCCGTGAACTTCGTCATCTATCCATCATCCGTCTTCCAAATCCACAACCTCAACTCAACACCCACTCACGCAAAGAAATCATAGACATCACAAACAAATATATCATGAGTGAACCAACCCAACAATCCGTCATGAATGAACCAACTCAACAACAAACCGGGCAGCCTGATCCCATACAAAATGCCCAAACTCTCCTCAGAGCAAAGGACGACACCTCCCGCTTTGTGGGCCTCGCCCTTCTCAAGTCAGTACTCGACAACTCGGAAGAGTTGAGAAACAACCAAGAGGCAGTCCGCGGTCTCTGGAAGAGCGTTCCGTCAAAGTTCCTGGATCGGCTAATCAAGACCGGCTCGCGTCAGCAGTCCCAGTCCGAAGGGGGAAACAAGAATGCCCGGGACATGCTAGATTTGGCCGTGGCCATCATCCACACCTTTGCCGCTCTGGTGCCCGAGGAAAATAAACGAGACTCGAGGTTTACCGAGAGGATACCACATTTGGTGGCCTGTCTTTTGAACTGGTGAGTTTTTTTTATTGTACTTGTATCAATCATTCACTCACAAGTCCCCAAAACTAACAATGAAACAGTTCAAACGAGACGACCAAGATGGTCCTAGAAACCCTCTCAGCCCTCGTCACCACGCCAGACGGCGCCAAAGCCTTCATCGCCCTAGACGACGTCACCACTCTGATCGAAATCGCCCCCTCACAGCCCTTAGTCCTCGACATCTTCTTCTATGCCTGGCTAAACGTTACGAATTCATCCGTCTCCTCCTCCGCCAAAGACAAGGACCTCCTGCGGACCAAGATCGACCACACCATCACCGCTCTCGTCTCCTCCTTCAAGGGCACCGACGCCGTCACCCTTCTCGACTTCCTCGCCAACCTGCTCCCCCGTCTTGAGCCCCAAGTCCTACCGCAAAACCCTCAATGGCTACCCACTCTCAACCTCTTCATCCGCAACCTCGTCTCCAGCCGGCCTACCCCCGTCGGCCGCGCCGCTTATACCAACCTCTCTGCTGCCCTACTGGAAGTTTACCCCTCTGTCGCTCCGCAACTGCTCTTCACCGATGACCCTTCAGGCAAAGGCAAATCCAAAGCCAACCCAACCGACGACAACAAACCCTTCTCGTACCTCCTCATTTCCATTCTCCTAATCGACATCCGCTCCACGGCCCCGACCCTCTTATCCCAACTCAACAGCCCTTCCTACCCTCAATCCTCCCGCCGCCTAAGCTCCGCATTCAACATCATCTCCCACTACCTCGGCTTCCTCCTCCGCTCCCTCGACCCTTCCTCCGACTCTTCTTCAGAGTCCCACTCCCACTCCCACTCCCTCCTCCCGGACCCCACCTTCCTCCTCAAACTCCGCACCTCCCTCTCCGAGACCTTTTCCCTCACCCTCGAATTCCTCCGTGACCGCTACGACGCCAGCGTAGCAGGCGCCATGGGCCTGGACCCGTCCGCCCGCTCCTCCGCCGCTTACAACGACTCCTCTTCTGCCTCGGGCGGCGTCTCCCACTTGACTCTCTCCTGGGAAAGTATGAAAGACAGCGTCGAGCAAGACCCGCTCATCCTCGCAGCCATTCGCGCGCTGGCCATCTGGCTACGGGAAGACGACAACGAGCAGCTCCGCAAGGAAGCAAGTGGGTTAGGCGATTTATTCATCGATCTATACCGCCACAGCTGTCATCAACCTGACCAGAAGAAGAATGACCAGAAGTTGTTGGATTTCCGAAGACCGGTGTTGATGGCGTGGGAAGGGCTGGTGGAAGAACGTAAGGGGGTTGAAAGTTTCTTGGCGAATGGGGGGTGGCAGGCCTTGGCTGATGATTTGGTGGGGATCCTTCAGTCTACTACTAGTACTTCTTCTTCTTCTTCTTCTTCTTCTTCTGGGGAAGTACTAGTGGACGAAGTGGAAGCAGCAAGAGGTACAGAAATCGTTCGCGTTCTACTGCAAGTTGCTGAACTAGAGAGGCCTGGCCCAAAAGAGGAGTGGTTGGATTTAGTCACCAAGGTGGCGGCGTGGTATATTCCCGAGGAGGAGGAGGAGGAGGAGGAGGAAGGCGATCAAGACGTGGAGATGGTAGGCAAGGAATCGAAGCTGGTGGTGTATGAGTTCCAGGTTGCTACGCTGCAGCTCGTTACGGCCTTGTTGGCGGGCAGTCATCCGGGGGTGCAGAGACGGTATGTGCATTCTACCAGCGCGGTATTGGGGATTGCGAGGGTGCTGATGGGGAAGGTAAGGAAGGTTGGGGATGGGGAGCTGGTCGAGGCGTTGGAGGATGTGTTGGCGACGTTGGGTGGGTTGAGGTAGATTGGTAGATCGTGTGGGTGAAAAGTCATGGGACAGATGGAAATAAGGAGGAGGGGTTGGAAATAGGGAGACTGAAAGATACCCAATTCATTTTATTCCGTACCACTGATGCTAGGTACCCTGTCCTCTTTTTATCACGTCTGACACTATTATTGTGTTCCAGTCAATGTAAGCATGTGCTGCTCCTTCCTTGCGACCTTTGCAGTAATAATGCTGGGTTAACTACAAGCCGCTTTCCACAATACCTTCCCTTCAAAAATGACGTTGAGGGTTACGCCGCCCACGGCACGGAGAGCTCTCATCTGTTTCTAAACTGAACTCTTTTCTTACAAATCCTTCAGAGGAGCCTTTTAGAGTGAGCGCTTTTCTCACGACAGCCTCTTCCTTCACGACATCCTTTTTCATCCACCGGGCTCTCCTCTTCACTGACGTTTTTGGTGGTTCATGTCTAGTAGTCGTCCTCGTCATCCGTGTGGCGGCGGGGACTATCCGCCTTCTCAGAAGCATCTCTCTCACGTCGCCTATCCTCCTCCTCCTCCTCCTCATCATGACGCTCCGCTTGCCCCTGCTGCTCCGTCTGCTCCTCCTGGTACTCCTCGCTGACACCAGAGTATCCGATCGGGTTAAGCTCGAATTGCTTGATATCAGCCTTGAGGCCCTCATGCGGCTCATCGATTGTTACGTGCAACTCGTCAGGGAACCTCTCGCTGTCGTCGGCTATCTTTTGTGCAATGTTGCGAGTGCGCTGATTCCGGAGGGTGCTGCGCTGCATAATGGGATAGTAGTACATGCCCCTCTGATCGGTGGTGCTGTCGCCCTCTCCCACGTCGTCGCGGAACGCCAAGATAACTTCGCCATTGTATTTCGTGTCGTGATCGTACTCGGTCTCGGCCGAGGTCTCGTAGGGGCGCAGGCGGGGGAACACAAAGTGCGGGCCCTTGCCGTCCTTGTGTGGGTATAGACCTTCAGAGTCGCGGTCCGGGTTGTCGACGTCGAATCTCGCGCGGAAAAGATTACTTTCCTTGGCATCCGAGGGAAGAAATAGGTTGTAGTTCATCATGGAACTAGGGGCAGGATGGTTCTGTGGGTCTTCATTGTGTAGCTCTTGCGCCAGCTGGAAGGCTTGTTCTTCGGCTTCACTCCGCTCAATGGGCTTCAAGATGCCCGCAAGTATGCGAGGATCATACTTGTCGCTCGAGTTAACGGGGTTGGTGGTGAACTTGACCGTCACGTAAGCACCAGAGTCGGGGAATGCCGTGGTGTCGGGGAGTAGAGGGAAAGCATCGATGCATTTGACGTTGCGCTTGGTCGGATGCCTGACCTTGGTCTTGTCGGCCAGATTGGCTGCGGCAATATCAAAGCTCTTCTCAATACGGCGACGGATCCAGGCGGGAGTGCCCTTGTCGGGCTCGGGAGAGGCCTTGCGTTTCTGAGGTCGCTTAAGGGCGTTGTCCTTGTTGGAGCTATTGGAAGAGCGGTTGTTGAGGAAGACATTGTCCCTCTTGACTTGTACGGAAGCGATATATTCGGTGCGGCGGAGGAAAGATACCGACTCGGTGCCGATCTTAGGCTTGCCGAGTGTGTTGAGTGGTCTGAGGAGAAGACGATCGTGTGGGTGAATAGGTGGCGGGGGGTTCTGTGCAGAGATGGCTGCCCATTATGTTAGTATACTAGTTCATGTGATCAACGCCTAGGTAAAGAGGGATACGCACCATCCTCGTTGCCGTCAAAGACACCTGGCATGCCGACCAGGTCTAGAGGCATACCGAGCTCGGCATCGACCTCGATGTTTAGGGGCTGCTCACGCGCAAGGCGCGAGGCAAAGCCAGGATTGGTGTATTGGCCGCTCGACAGGCCCGTGCTGGGGATGTTGAGCAGCTTGGGCGGATTAGGAGGGGGTGGTAGAGCATTGGAGTATCTGATTCTGGCGATGTAATCTTGGTGGATCATGCGCTCTTCGCGCCCTCGTGGGTGTTGCGACATGGTGTTTGTCTGTGTTGTGTGATTATATGATGATGTCGTGTGGATGTGGGTGGCTGTGAAAACCGAGTCGGGTTAAGATTGATGATTGTGGGTTGAGTTTAGACGGGAGTCGGAGCTTCGAGAGCAAGGTGATGAAAGTGGTCGCAGCGAAAGTGAGTCGCGGTCGAGATGCAGGTGAAGGCGCGGTTGCGTTGCGTTGCGGTTGCGGGATGGTGTGTGCCAACGGACAGGGGCCGGGACACTGGGTTAAAAAAAAATGGAGACAAGGCTGGTGGTTGGTCAACTGGTTGGTCAAGCTCGTCCTGGACAAAATAGTTGAGACCTTTGACATTACCTAGTATACCTTGGGTATGTATGCTCCTACTACGCATCCAAGCGTCTTTGTTACACCTCTGATCTTGAATATTAGGCGATTTCTGAATACAAATATCCACATGGGTCTCTAGCCGATGTCGATCGAATTGTTGTAATCCATATCACAGTCTTGCAACGGCCTTCTTTTGTTTATTCTTCAATAAATCTTGACGAGCGGTAGCGGACTCGTTTACCTAACATGTTGGTTGGTCTCATCAATTTTGTCCCGGACGAGCCAAGTAGCGTGTACGCTTCCATTCTGTTGGAGGTTCCTGTCACTGAGGATCGCCTGGCTGTGCCGGCCGCAAAGAAAAAGTGGGCCCCACGCAGCCTTAAGGTTCCCTTCTCTACAACTTTGTTGATTTCCATTCATTGACCCCTGAATATCGGGCTATGCCATGGTTTTGACATTATTGGCAGCATGGCATGGCGAGAGACTTTTTGTACATTTCCAGCTGCATATTCAATTCCAGCTGACATTATGGTTAATTATTTTGGTCTCTAAGTGATATCCTGTATGGCCTGCTTCCAGACACCGCCATGGTTTTTTTGTTGTCGTCCGTCCGTTCTCTTCACTCATGGCGTCTGTGAAACTACTAATCAAATGTGAGATAGTTCAGAACCCCCTCTTGCATCCATCCATCCATTCGTTCATCCATCGACTGTTATGGCAACAATCAGAAGGCCAACCACCCCGTATCCCAGCCCAGGCGTCAGATTAGAAGAGTATATATGAAAAAAATATACATGATAGTTGCTCATCGTCATAAATGCTCCATCAACATGGCGCATTCCCCCGTCATTAGTACATTGAGAAGTTCTGTCTTTCTTTCTACAGCGTTTGACCTGAATTTGGCCCGCGAAACACTTCCTTCTCTCCCCGGACAGCGCAAAAGTGTCAGAGACAGACTAGCTGCCCTGTCTGACAACCAGCAACATCAATCAACTTGGGCAACAGCAAAACTGCTTAGTTGCTGTTCTTGTTGTACCGCGCCTTGCCAATGGTGAAGGGGACGTAACGGTACTTGATCATGTGCTGAATTTGCTTGCGCACTGTTTCTTATCGTTAGCGGCTGTTCATAGTTTCAAACAAGAAAGAGCTTGACAGGGGAATGCAACGTACTGGTGAGGATGAAAAGCATGAGCCAGTACATAACCAGCACGGGCCAGAACACGGGAATGTTGAAGATCTCGAACCAGCTGCAGAGGAAGGAAATGGCAACAGCGCGGGTGGCCGAATGCCAAAACTTGAACTCGGGAAGGCGGCGGATGAAGGGCCTGAACTCCTCGTCCTGCTTGGTGGGGAGGGTACCGACAGAGCCGTCCTCCATTTCCGTGTCGAGCGCGTCACTCGAGGGGTCGAACTTGGGCGTGAGGAAGGCGAGGAAGAGGTTGAGAAGGTAGATGCCGAGGGCATAGGCGACAATGTACCAGCCTTGTGCCACGAACACCCGCACGAAGAAGAGAAACAGGGCGACGCCGGTGCCAACCCATCGGTACGTAACATAGGGCGTCGACTGATCGAGGAGTGCTTGGTATTGCTGAAAGGGCCCAACTGTGTTAGCCAACATGACAGTCGCAAAAAGACAAGAGCAGTAAACGCACTCTCTGGAGCTTGTTGCTCTGTGCAGTGAAAGTGCCAAAAGGCGTCATCGGCTCCTCCGCGGTCTCCATTGCGACGTTGTTGGTAAGGGTGTAAGTGTAGCTCGTTTTACTTCGTTGATCGATCGTGTCTCGCTGGTATATCGTGTCCAAAACCGTTTGATTGGGAGGTGTAGGTGGAAAGGTGTTCGTGGGTTGGTGATTGCAAAGGGAAGACGAGAGATGTTGGCAGAAGGGAAAAATGATTGTCGGACACTGCGCATGTAGGGACGGTAGCTGTACACTATACTACACTAGCAGCAGCACGGGCACCGTACCTTGTAGGGTAAGACAGCACTCCAGTTTCGTTGCGCGTATCAAGCAGGGGCCGTTATCCCAAGGGAATGACGAAGACGGGGGGCCGCCGATTGGGGGAGGGACACCTTTTTCCGTGGCGGGCAAGCTGGCATCAGCCACGCAACACAAGCCTAGACCTGGCTCGTGAAAAGGGGTGGAATTTGTTGGATTGTGGCGTTGACGGTATTCCCTCGTTAGCCTTGAAGCCGAACAGCCCGAAAAGTGTGGCTGGTGATGGACGTCTTTGAAACCGTGGAAACGGCCCGCTCCCCCAAAACAAGAAAAGCAAAGTACAGTTGCAAGGATCAACAGACAGGCATTCCCCAATTGACGTCGTTAAGACCGAGGATAACCAGTGAGGCCAAGCGTGTGGGGAATTGGGGAGCTGGGCAATGGGGACCCGGACCTGGATGGCCCATCAGAGCTCGGGAGCTACCTACCCCTCGGTTTGACGGGTCACTCACTTATATTAACATGCTCTGTGCTGCTGCAAGTGTTTTGTTTCTGATTTCTTGCCATTGACCTTTTTGTTTCCGTGACCAACTCGTCTGATAGAACCAAATCACCCACCACAATCATGCGTTCAGTTGCCTTCAACAACACCCTCCGGGGTCTATCCCGGGCCGGCTCCCGCTTCCAGCCCACTACCCTTCCCCGTATTGCGGCTGCCCGTGCCTATTCTACTCCTGCCGAGAGCCAGTATGAGTTCATCCAGGTCTCTGAGCCCCGTCCCGGTGTCGGTCAAGGTAAACAAACACCCGTTGCTTCATCTAGATTCACCAATCGTCACGCAATGACGTCTGTCTCTCTTAACATGTATTCAATGAACTCCAAAGAACCTCCTCCTTTGCCTTCCATTCCCCCTCCCCTTCCCACCACCACTTGCTATTGATCTACGAAACCCAAATTACTAACCAAACCCACCCTCACCGGACAGTAACCCTCAACCGCCCCAAAGCCCTCAACGCCCTCTCCACCCCGCTCATCACCGAACTCAACTCGGCCCTCCTCTCCTTCCAGCAATCCCCCACCATCCGCGCCATCGTCCTCACCGGCTCCGAGCGCGCCTTCGCCGCTGGTGCCGACATCAAGGAGATGGCCCCCTTAACCTTCTCCAAGGCCTTCCTCGACTCCTTCATCGAGTCCTGGTCCAACCTGACCTTCACCGTCAAGAAGCCCATCATCGGCGCCGTCTCCGGCCACGCCCTCGGCGGCGGCTGCGAACTGGCTCTGATGACGGACATCATCTACTGCACCAAGACGGCCAACTTTGGCCAACCCGAGATCAAGCTGGGCACGATCCCCGGCGCGGGCGGGTCCCAGCGGCTGACGAGGGCAGTGGGGAAGAGCAAGGCTATGGAGCTGATTCTCACGGGAAAGAGCTTCAGTGGTGAGGAGGCGGAGAGGTGGGGGGTTGCGGCGAGGGCGTTTGATAGCTATGAGGAGCTGATGGAGCAGGCGCTCAAGACGGCAGAGACGATTGCGGGATATAGCAAGGTGGCGGTGCAGGCGGCCAAGGAGGTGGTTAACAAGAGCCAGGAGGTTGGATTGAGGGATGGAGTAGAGTATGAGAGGCGCATGTTCCATGCGTTGTTTGGAAGCCAGGATCAGAAGATTGGAATGAAGGCTTTTGCGGAGAAGGGCAAGGCTAAGTGGGTTGATGAGTAATGTATGACTGGTTGGACAGGACAGTTGTATGTTTAGGTTAGAAGAGAAATGGAGATTCCTATTAGTTCGAAGGGGGTATTCTGTCAGCTCTTTCAGTTGTATCCTGAATCTGACATGACTTTGTCGAAAGACTACCCTTAATGATCTACTAATCAGAGCCAACATCACCATCTTCGAAGCTGCCTAGAATAAAAAGTCGAAGGATCCTTACCCTCAAGCCTGGCCCAAGCCCGCTATGCATAACATCTCCAGCCTTCTTTCCCTCCTTCCCTTCTATTCACAATGCCAAAAAAGGGACAGCAGCGAATGTGAATTCAACGAACAATCAGATATTATTCCCAACTACGCAATTCCTACCTAGAAAGTGGTTTGTAAGCATCAACACACATCTCATCCAACTTTTGGATGAGATCAACCAAAACAAATAAGCCAAAGCAAAGCCAAAACAATACAAAACAAAACAAAACAAAACTGCTTACCTCACAAACACTGCCAACACGATAACCTACCACGCACTCTCCTAAATCATATAAACCTAGAGTTATCTCTTACACGACACAATTACCCATCAAAACAAACCCATCACTTACCAACCCACCTAGACAAGCAAGCACGTCTTCGAGAGACAGCGACAGCGACAGCGCCAGAGACAGATACAGTCGTTCGAAACCGAGTTAGCAACACCGACAAGCTGCAAACAAACAAACAAAGTACTGGTCAAGGTGTTCGAATAAGACCAATTATTCTACCTTTCTCCCCAAAAAGATTTGTACCATGTCTGTTTGCCTATGTGGCGGCGGATGGCGAGCTATTTGTAGCGTCTATCAGAGATCCTTCAAGCATATTGAAATCTTAACATTGCTCGCTTTCCTTTCTCTGTAACAGCCCCGTTCGTCTTCTAATAAGTTATGTATCCTCTAAGAAGCCAAAGCCAAGCCAAGCCAAAACAAGCCGGTGAGGCGCAACGTATATATGCGAATCTAAGTATAGAAGATGCAATTCCGCCCTTCGAAACTTTTTCGTCTCATGAAGCTGCACATGTCCTGTAGATGAAAAAGAAAAAACGCCTCGCTTGTCGCCGGTGTGATGTAATGTGATGTGTAATGTGTGATGTGCAGCGTATTGCGTAGTGTACCAATGCCAATGAGTCGAATATGATATGTGTATGTCGAGACACCAAAAACCAGGGGGATTATCTTATCATACCATATCGTACCATATCATATCATGTGTACCCTTCCTTCCCTTTTCCTCTCTCTAACACCGAAGAAAAAGAAAAAAAAATCGTGGTATCATTGTTGAAGAAGACCGGAAAAAAAAAATCACCATACGTAAGAAGAGAGGTATGCATGAATGAAGTGAAAAAACCCTAAACTCCTCCTCCTCGCCACAGGAACAAGAAACATCCATCACTCGCTAAAATCAGTAGGAGTGGACGGGAAACTGGGCTCCGACTTGCGCTTCATCAACTTCAAATTATGATCCACTCCCATTCCCAGCCTTGGCGGGTCCGTCAGGGTATTCTGATCGGACTCAGGCCGGCGGTCCGAGTCAGATGGGAACGGGAAGCCCTCGTGGATCGTCTCCTCGCGGTGTTGCTCCGGATTCGTTGCTCTCCTACGCATGCTATGCCAGCCATTAGGGTTGATGCCGTCTCCACCACCGCTACCGACGCCGTTAACGCCGCCACCACCTCCAAGGCCGGTGACGCCCTGACTGCCAACGCTTCCGTGATGCGAGTCTCTATTCAAGGGCCGCGCCTTACCGACGGAACCAAAGTGGACAGGGTGCCAGGTTTGCGCGTGAGGAACGTGGTGGGGACGGTGTCCATCCAGCGGCATGGCGGCTCTGGGCGGCCCTGGATGGAGCAGAGCGCCAAAGATCTGGTTGCCAATGTCGTTGCTGCGTTGGCGCCAGTGACGCCTGCGGCTCGTCCTGCTGGTGGTGCTCCACGCATCACGGCCAGTACTCATGGCAGACGTGTGTGAGCGCTGTCTTTCGACCCCGTCGTCCTCGGAAGAGCTGCTGTTCAGCTCCTTGGGAAGGACGATGGCACGGTCAAGGCCGTAGGGAAGACCACGATGCCGACCTCGGATCAGCGTCATGATAATGAACACCTTTCCTGTCGTGCTAAAGATGGCCGATAGAGAGGCGTTACCAGTGGAAAAACCAAGACTCATGCCGACTGTACCGTAGGCGCTGATGACCTCAAACATGAGCGCGAACATATCGGTCTCGCCGTCCATGATCCGCGTGCCTTCCGAGATGGCGAGCATGAAGAAAAAGAGAGCAATGAACCACAAATCGAAAGAGAGCTGGCGACGCAAATGCGAGCCGATGTATGACAAATCGCTGGACGGTGAAGCCGATTCCTCCTCACCTTCAGGATTGTTGTAAATGCCCAGAGACTTCTCCTCGTACACGTTTGTGCGACGGATCGACATGGCGATGGGGAGGACACTGATGTACATCATGATCATGTACGACACCTTGACGGCCGGGTGCAGAACCGCGAGGTTGATGCAGGAAAAACCAGCTGTCCTCGTTGAGGCTGCCTCGAAGAGCCCATTGAGGACCTTGATACCGCCAGGTAAGGCGTCGACAGGCCCAGATCCCAAGTCCAGGACGACGAAGAAGACAACGTCAGCACAATTGAGCCCGATCAGAATGAAAAGGAGCCACCACGTTGCCCCAGACGGGAAGAGGAGAATGAAGCAGCGACGAGGATGATCAAGCAGAAATCGCACTTCCTCGTAGAGGCCCGAGTCGCGCGGTACGACGATGGACATGACCCAAATGATAAACCGCAACATGACGGGGAAGCCGGTGTTGCCAATGATGATGAGAAAGATCATCAACAGCAAGGGCCAGACAGCGGTATTGAACGAGTTCATGCTATCGGGGGTCAAGGTAAGGCCCAGATCCATGAAAGCAGAGTTCGCGGTGAAGAAGGCCCACCAGACTCTGCTTTGGCCAGCCTGGTCGACAACCTGACCCCAGCGGTCCTCATGGAGGATCCACGGTAGCAAACCGACAAGTCCCAACAGAAAGAAACCGAAGAAGTAGCAGAGAATGATCTTCTGCAGTAACTTCAAGACACGGTACTCGATACCTCCCAGCTCCTCGCGCTGCTCTTCCGTCAGGTCGTGGAATTGAGAGTTGCGTCCCAGCGTCGGTTCCCAGCTGAGGTAGGGCGTCGGCTCCATCTTGTCTTTGGTAAAGGCCGACCTCATGGCTGAGAGCGATGGACGCCTCGACATTCTCGAATTTGACCGCTGCAGTTTAGGGTCTGCCTCGTCGTCAACACGGTTCCTAGTGGGGGCCCGTGTGTTCTTCCTGAACTTGAGATGGTTAAGTTGCGGCACGAAAGAGTGGGTGAACGTCTTGGCATCGTCGACATAATCTTCCGTCAGCGTTTCGTATAACTTATTCCTGTCGGGCTCCTCGATGGTGATGGCTTGTGCGCGGCCATTGAGCGTCACCATGGGCGTAGGTTGAGCTGGTTCGCGGTCATCCTCTTCGGCAGAATCATCGACCCGTCTAGGCTTAGCGCCTCGTTCCATATCTCTTGGACCGGGAATTCGAAGCACTTCGTCGTCTCGGTTGCGCTGTCGCTCAAGAATGGCGATATGCTCCTCGTCCGACCGAGGAAGCTTTATCGCATCCAAGCCAAGTCCATCGCTCTTCTTCACGGTGCCGGCGAACCTGATTTCGGGCTGTCGACGGGTATCTTCGGGCTGATCCGGGTCTCGCTGATCGGGGGGCGCGCGGCTGTCGTACGTGGGCTTCTGGAACGAGCCCAGCAAGATGCCGTCGTTCGTCATGCGTGGACTACCAGAACCGTGCATGACGGTGATCTCTCGGCCAGCAACACCTCTTTCCGCCTGTGAAAGAAAGTCGGTCCGCATCTGCGATTTTGACTTTGAAATGGTGCCTCTCCGCTGCTTGGCGTCCTGGACAATGGTCTGCAACTTCTTTTCGAACCAATACCTTCGTAGGGAAACCGTGTAATAGCCGATCGATATTGGATTAGTGAGCATGGCAAGCAAAAAGATGACGGCCTGGGAAAAGGTGTTAATCAGGTTAACATCAATGGTGTTCAGGCCGCCCTGGGTACACGCCCCAGCAGCGAAGAAGAGGGCGTCGACATAGGCGACTTGGCCCCTGTGGGAGGCGTAGATAAGAATTGACCCGACTATTGTGAGGCCAATGATGAGGGTATCTATTCACAATTAGTATGGAAACAATGTTCAAGGGGAAGGGAGAGGAACTTACAGTGTACTGTTTGATACTGGAAGTGGCCTTCGGTCATTAGTTTCCTAGGCCGAAAACCAACATGGTGACATATCCACGCCCATTTCTCCTGGGTTATACTGCGAAGTCGTTCCATGGTGGGCGACAATCGCGGGAGGTGGTATTATGGTGAAAATGTGCCCCTGAGTGGTGAAGGATGTCGTCAGGCAATAAGGGATAGGGGACTGGGGGTTGGAGAAACAAGGACGGAGACGGCACCGGAATCGCCTGAAGTCGACGCAGAGGCCGAAACGGCAAACGGTGATGTGCCTCTAGGAAGCCACTAATATCCTGTCCTGCCAGTATGTAGTAGAAGTAAGAGATAGGAAAAAAAAAAAAAAAAAAAGAGAGAAGGTCGATCGATGTCTCGGCGTGTCAGGGTCTGCTCAAGGATGTGGCAGGGTGGCGTGGTGACAGACGGTTGCGAGATCAACGAAAAGGATTACTGGATTAAGACAACGGCATCAGAGCATATGTCATGGAGGGGCGGGTCTGGGGTATTTGAGGAAGAAGAGCAATTGAAATAAGGAATGATTTAGGTAGACGTAGTGTAGAGGTAGTAAGGGTCCAGTGATAAGTTCTGGGGCGGGTCGGGAGACAGAAGGAGGAGGGAATTGAATTGGTATGAAGTAATGGTATTCACTCGTCCTATAGAGTGAATACGAGAGGCTCCAGTTCAGTCGTCGCTTTTTGGTGGCTTCGACTGAAGAGATGAAGACTAAAAGTTTCCGTTGCCGTTTCCAGTCCAGGGGGGGGTTTGGCCGAGAAGGAAGGTGCGTGCGGGTGGCAGGAATGGAGACTTCAAGTTGTGGACAGGACTGGACCAGCAACCGAGGGCTTTTTTTTCCCTTGTCTTATTTCCGGACCTGGGGCTGATTTTAAAGCCCTCAAAGGAGTTTGTTTTGTGTCTCGGATGGCCTCAGAACTGGTCGAGGCGCAAGCCGAATGTTGACTTAACGATCGTCAAAAAAGTTCGATGAGGACGAGCACACCACAGCAGAAAGCAAAGTGGTAGGCACCGTTACTTACAATGCCAAGCAAAAGCCAAGAACAAGACCCAGATGCTACTCTAGATTCCAGAGAAGGCCAACAACTCGGAGCGAAGAGAGTGTCAAAGAAGGTTGCCGCCAAGCCTACAGGGGCGGGTGACGGTAGAAGAAGGGAAGCACTCCGTAAACCGGTCTTTGCAGGGTTGGTGGTGTAGAAAATCGGGTGGTCCCAGCCAAGAATCAGGGTTATTGCTGGTCGATTGATGGAAAAAGCCGACAGAGAAAAAAGTTCGAATTCTAGCCTGTCGGAGGGGGCTGGCGAGTTGCATCAAGCGGGTCCACAACGGCTCAAGGGTGCGCTAGCGCATGCATATATAACACTCTATAGTCCCGCTTGTTGAACCATGAAGTCGAGCACTGTTCCAGTTTCAGGAAGCACGTGGGGTTTGTAACGAGTCGTGAGTTGATACAGTAGATCTGATTGTCAAAGAGGGGGACGAGAAAGAGAAAGACAAGTCAGAAAGGGTACTCGTGGGATGTAAAGGATCTCGGGCTCGCGGGTCAACAAAGAACACATCCGGGGCTTTATGACGGGGAACGACGCCGGCGGGGTGCCAAAATGAAAAGAGCACAGACTGTCACTAGCGTAGGTACCGCAAAGACTCGGGCCATTGACTTTCAACTTTCCTGGAAATCAGGCATAGTCTTTTAGTGTAGGTAGTGTAAGCATACTGACTGCAACATTCACGCCCACCAGAAATTGTATGCAAGACAGTGATTTTCAAATTTCCCCACCCTCCAGCGCTCTTGAAGATAAGTGCGAAAGGGCAGGACATCAGAAAAATGGAATCTACTATGCTCCGGAGAGGCAATACATATCCCCCTCTATTTTTGGTGAGTAAAACATGTATAGAATCGTGCATATGTATGTCTGATTATGTCTGATTTCCAGTCTGGTTGAAAGTCAATGGCCCGAGTCTTTGCGGTAGTGTACATTGACAAGGGCCGCATGAGCCACTATGTAGTGTATGTAGCGCACACTATATTCGCTGTTCGCTCCTCTTCCCCGTCCCCAACCCCAGCCAAGCAAGGGCCAAGCATCATCGAGCCATGGTGGAGGTTTTACCAAGGCATTCCTCCGGGACTGGGGGTGGCTTAGGCCTCGCACAACCCGAGCCGACGGGGGGGACTTCAATAGGCAAAGACCACCATTGCCGGCAAACCTCACCACTCCACGACAGTCACCGTCAAGGTCATCCGCCGAGCCGGTCATCGTCGGGCACACAAAGACATTCGAGTCGACGGTGATCAGTCAGTTTGGGTTGGCTGGCTGTGTGAAACCGCGACCAAGCTTGCCAAGTAATCAACCCAGGAGGATCTCCCAGAAACACCGGGCCATCGACTAGGTAGTCTGCGGGTGATGACTTGAAGGTCGGGTTGGGTTTGAAAAAGCGAGGTTACTTGCATTCATCAATGACATCCAATAGCGACTCGAATCTCAATCTCTTATCAAGGAGATCAGCAAAAGGCCGAAACACTGCAGTTTCCCTTTGCATATAGACTGAAGGCATAAGGTTGTGCCGCCGCTAAAACAACCTTGGGAGTTGAAAACCCTGGAAGGAGACAAGCAATCTCATCAAACGGCAACGCCGCAGCGGCAGCGGCAGCAACCGGAGTGCAGGTCGGGTTTGATACCTAGCAATTACTACCTAGAATAGCATCCTTGCAAGCAACCGCGGAAAAGGCTCAGCATTGCGATGCAAGCAGTCCGTGGAAATGGAAGCGACGGAAGCTGCAGTGAGCTGACAGGGTTCGAGCGATCTTGCGGTCAGCAACTTCCACCACTTCCATTGTCTCCACGGGCAGTGAGGTTGACAAATGCTTTCATTGACGGCGCATTGCGCGATACTCATTCGTTGTACATGGAAGGTTCCTGGGTACAAATTCTAGACCACAGGAAAGAGTCCGGGGTTGGTGGAGATGGGACTCACTGGTCAAACGGCGTCGACGACCATCTCGTCTCATCACTGTTCAGATGACACGCTCCCAATGCGCATCACACGCATCTACGATCGCTTAATTGCCGCTACCCCTCATCCAATGTCAAGGAATTTGACTGCAGTTGAGCCTAACCTCCACAATGATCATCGACAATTTTGGAGAAAGGAAGCCTGAACGATCCAACTGTTCAGGGAAAATACATGTCTGACACAATGCTATTTGATCAGTTGACAATTGACAATGGGAGGCCAAAGACTCAAAGTCGTCTCGAGTGGACAGTGAAAGGAGTCTCCGTCCTTCCTTTCCGCCTCATCGGGTTCAGTTCAATTCACCTGTTCGGCCAACAAGTGGAAACCGGATGGAAGGGAAGCTGCATCTACCTAGGTACAACCTCATTGTACGCCCCTTCCATGCACACTCTGACCCGTTTCACAACCGCGGAAGGCGCAACCTGCGCACCCAGCTTTAAATCCCGAAGACCATGGTCCAATCGCCAGCCTCTGATTTCCGCCAAGCAAAACTTGATGTGGAAAGACCGGCTTGAATGAGCATCCCTGATATCTCCCGGGTTTTTTGTGTAGTGTAGTTTACCTAACCAAGTATCTCTTACTTAAGGTTGAGAATGGTGGTGCCAAGCTTTTCGTCCACTCTTCTCGTCTACACGTGTAGAGTACAGATGTACAATGCATACACCTTGCTTCTCAAATGACGTTCGAGAGTACCTCTACCGGTTTCGGATTTCAACTGCCGTACGGGAGCTCTGACAGGCTACCAATCGGACGGCTCGTTTATCTAGGCGATGATTTTTTTTGAGATGCTGAGCTGCTGTGTGTGCCATGTGTGATTAGTATGCTCTGCAGACGAAGCCTTCGCTGTCACACATTTCCTCCTAGTATTTCTTACATACGACGGAGAAGCCAGGACTGTGATTCGATGGGCGGGCCACTGAATGGTCACTGAATGGTTTGTGAACTCTCCTGTACTTCTACTCACTTTCCTAGGTATCACCTAGCATAAGCAACCTGATGTTGGTTCGATCTGATTACCTATCTACAGGAGATTCTGGTCTGATCTGCCAGGGCTTTGCAATTGCTGGAACATGGTTTTCACGAGACTATACCGTACATAAGTAGATGCATACGTAGCATCGAAGAAGAGAAAGAGAAAAAAACTGAAAACAAAAATAGAGCAGGTTCTTCCCCCCTTCTTTACCTATGTATAGCCGAGCAAAGAAAGTCTAGACGAGAAACATGAACATTAACATTGGTTCCGCATCAAGTACTTGCAAGTGCAACTAAAAGATTAGTGAAATCTCGATCCAAAACTCGGATCAACACCCGGTTGAGAAACGATTTGCAGACGTCTGTTAACCATGCAGTAACTTCTTGGCGGAGTATACATAAGCTTACTTTGTTCGCTTAACAGCTTTTGTGGCAGTGTTTGCTTGGTAAACATGTTACCCAAGTCCTCTGGTTGCCTCGTTAGGTGTAGGTGAGTTTGTAATGGGAACACGGAGAATCCAAAGTTGGAGTTCACATGTCAGCAGAATTGTTCGCTCAAACGTGCTACTGGCACTGATGTGGGTTACCGAAGTATATCGATCCAAAGACGAATTGGGCCATGTTTGGTCATCATCGTTGGTAATTGAATAGTCTTTGAAGTAGAAATTCAAGAGACTCAGACAATGTGGAAGTTTGGACAAAGTCCCGACAAAGGTGGAATTCCACGGAAAGGCGCTCGGGTAGTGGGAATCCTCCAAGTTGCCAATAGAGCTTCAATGTTCATTGAACACCAACGCGTGCATCGTTTCTTAGCGCTGGACTCTAACCAACTCTACAACCCTGTCACCCCATTTCTGACAAGAGAACCCTCTCCTCATGCGGTATCCGAACCCTGCCGCACGACGGACTCAACCAGACCGGACGACTGTAAGAAAAAAAAAACATAGAATTCTTTTGCCCCGGGGATTTCTCATACATGTACATGGTATACACAGCGGCCGTCTGTCCCCTCTTCTCACAGATCCCGGCTTGTCTCTCATTTCGAGGTCACTGTAGCTTCCTCAACCAAAAGGGGAGGGGTATCCCGCAAGTCTCAGTGAACAATC